TCCTTTCCTCTACGAAAAAAGGCCTAACCTAGGGAGTGGAATGTAAAAAAATTAAACTTCAGAGAATCGTAGGGAATTTATTAGATAAGCTTCGAAATTTGTACATGAACCTCAAGTGACTAAAGTAAAATAGACTGAATTATAGGAATCATCTCCTAACTTCGATCCTAACTATACCTTACAGAAAACAGTTGTGGATGCCCCTGTTTCAAATTACTCTAGAAGCAAACAAACGGTAAATAACAAAACAAAAACACAAGCTGAGTCATTTTTATTTTTGTCAAAAAATGGAATTTAGGACGTATATATTGTGTATTTTCATACATTCTCTTGTAAATTCAAAGTCTAAGGAGCTCTCAAAGAGTCTGGGCGGCCTGTGGTGTTTCCTTCTGCTTCTCTCCTCTCCCTTCCTTTTCTTTCTCGGCTTAAAAGTGATTTTTAAAATTTTTAAGCTTTGTGGAATGGCAAAACAAACAAACAAACCAAAAAAAAAAATGGATGTTTGGCTTTTTCCTGGTTTCAGACACATCTTACAATACTTACATGCCTGTTGTTTTTTTTACAATTATATTTACTTTTTTGCCCAACTATTTCCATTGACCTCTTAGCCTGCCTTACAGATTCTTATTCATTTCGCGCGAAAAATGCCCTGAACTCGTGCATGTGATGTAATTTCGCGATTTTGAAGAAATATGGAAGAAGAATAGCTCCGGATTTAATTGGGATTACACGAGAAGTGCATAAACGTCGAGAGGGTACGCACGACTTTTTTCTGGTTACTCTAGTACTTTTTGTAAGTAATTATAATTTGCAGTAGACGAGACAACGGCCCCCGGGGGGGGGGGGTACTGCCATATATGGGCTATATAGGTATGTGCCGCTGTGAAGGGTATGGTTTTCAAGCAGTTTACTCTAGGATAGGGTATATAAATCAGAGCATTTGGGTCTAGAATAGGGTATCATTTTTCAGGAAACTGATCAGTTGGTTGAAGATTTTATCTAGACTAGGTAAACAGCTACTCTAGGATAGGGGGATTTGGGGAGTTTACTCTAGTATAGGGTAGCAAAATTCAGCTGAACTAGCTCTGGTATAGGTTAAGGATTGCAGGGTCCCAGCGGCACATCCCCACCCAGAAATTCCTAAAGAACCCCCCGGGGACAACGGAACAGAGTACATTGTAATGGAAGAATGAGAAGAAATATGGAAAGTAGCTCTTGAAAAAACGTGAAGAAATCAACCGTACAATTCCTTTTATATTGTTGAGCTAATATAATTATATGGTATTTTAAGTTTGCGCAATAAACTGAGTTTTAGCGGGTATATTATTAGGTGAAGTTTTTTTGAAATCGTGAACAGAAGCTAAACCATATTGCATGTACTGCTTATCATCAACTGAAGAGAAATTTCAAATAAATTCCTCCGAAGATCACTCGAGCACTTGCCGGAGTTTGTTTCATACCATATTTGGACCGTTTTGGTTAACGCCTTTCGATCCGGTCACGAAGCCGCCATTTTTAATCTGTTCTGTTGCGGAGGATGTCGTGTTTCCGCGAGTCAAATTCTTCTTTTGGGAGGTGTAGGTAAGAGAGTTGTCGAATATCTGGTGAAGGCTTTGCATACATTTTTCGCACCCGGGCTGAAATTTGGAGGTAAGCGATTTTGAGGTTAATAACTTTCGTTCTGACTTGCACTAAAGATTGTGTTATGGAATTTTGTTTGGTTATGTTCCTTCGATTGATGCCCAGGTAGCAGTAGGCGCAACAAACTTCCAGCGCGACGCTTAGTTACAGTAGTTGTTCTATAACGTGTAAAACGATTGTAATGTTTTAGCTTGAGTAATTGTTCTATATCAGCTGTTTTAGACATACGGTCTTAATATTCAGTCAAATGGGCCAGTCGTGCTCACGAAACCGTGAATTTTTACGCTTCATGAATGCATTCCGTTAGAATACAGACAGAGTTGTTGATCCAATGGTCCAGCTGTTTATGAAATTGCCATTTTATATGTAATGTGTAGCTAATGAGACAAAGGATTTTAGAAAGGACAACGTATGTTAAATGGCCTTTAAAGCATCCTTTAAAGGTATCTGAATATATTAGCTTTATGGAGACGTTAGTTTTTAGCTGTCTAATCTTTGTCTGTCACGTATCACAAGAAAGCTTACCATTATAGCTTATGTATTGTCCCCGAAACAATGAACTGGAGTAAATTTGATGTTTGTTTCTCTTAACTGAAATACATTCTGTACAAAATATTCAACAACAGCGAGCCCTCAATTTCACTTGGATCAGTCTCAAGTTTTAAGAATTTCTATTACTACATACAGTGTACAGACATTTGTGTCTTCATGGGGTTGAGTTTTTCATTCATAAAACTCTGCTTCTTGTTTTACTATGCCATGGCTGCTGATGCCTGTCTAGTGTGTATTTCAATCATCAGTACATGGATATCTTATGGTAAACAAAACGGTTAAGGTCTGTGTTATTAGCTTGTCACACTGAATGTTACATGTAAAAACTGAAAACTCGTTACCTTGAAAAAACTGCCCTGCAAATTGAAGAGAAAATTAATTTGCCATTTGATTTAGATGCTTGTTTCGCATTCATCTTAACTTTGTTTCCTTTGATATTGCATAGTGTTCTGTAATAATTTTCATAAGGCCAGGGTCACGCACTTAGTAGGGATTTTATTTACACATTAATTTTGTACAGGTTTATATTTTGTTTTGATAAACATCCTCCTGTCTTTAAGTAAATGAAAGAATTTTTTTGGATATCTTTTGGCAAGAAAAAAGATTGGGGCTCAAAACTTAATACCCCTTTCCCAAATTCCAGGCAAATAAATCCATGAATTTAGCTGCCAAATGAATCCTTGGTTGTGTCTTAGAAAGCACCTACATGTAATAATTTCAATTTAATTTTATTATTAATTGCCCTGTTGTTAGTCACTACACAAAAAGATCAATATTTACCTTTTTAGTGTTTTTAATATTATTAAATTTTCTACTCTACAGCTCTTGCTCTTAAGTTTTGTACTGTACATCTATCTCTTGGTCATTATTTAGCTTTCTTTTGAGGGGGTGGCAGGCTTTTTGTCTGTCAAAAATGTTGCATTATTACTGTGGGGAAAGACCTGACTTATGTTCTGTACTGAAGACAAAAAAACTAAAACTGAAATATTTAGAATGGGACAACAAAACATTCCTACCTTTATTATTTTACATGCCATGGTAAGAGTGAAATCACATTGTGCTCAAGATTGAATTTATAGTTCTTAGGCAGATAATTTATGTGATTTTGGCCTTTGTGGCATCTCGTATTTAAGTTTTGGCATTTTCAAAATGGAATCTGTTATGATCTCAGCCATCACTTGGCTACATGTATATGTGATATTGTCGCTTATATTCTATTTTAAAAAAAAAACAAAAAAAAAAACAGGAAAATGTCATACCACATAAATAAATTATCATTAACTTGACACTTCTTTGAACATTGACAATAGAATATGGTCACATAAGTTGGGTTCTGTTAATAACAAATTTATCTTCTTTTTTGGCTGGGTTGTCTATTGTTATTTTCCTCAGCGCCAAACAACCTTTTGAACCAAAAATCATTTGCATAATAAAATCTTCTGGTCTACTTGGATAACCAGACAACCTCTGATTTCAAGTGCTGATGTTACATGTACACCACAGGGGCTATGGTTAAACTAGTAACGACAGTGCTTGAAATTAGTTGAAGGGCTTGAAATAATGGCTGGTCAGAGGACCATCTCCAGTCTGAAATAGGTATTGTCCCATGGTCAAATCAATGAGTGGCCAGTCATGTTGTTTGATTATTGCTGTTATTATACATGTACATTGTACTCATTATCTTTATTCTCATTTGCTGAGAGCCTAGAGCTAAGTTTGGAAATCAGCGCAACCTACAGATTAGTCAGTTATCGGCTAGCAGACAACTGACTAATATGTAGGTTGTCCGTGCAATGTATGATTTCCATTGACAATAAATTTTATATATCAATTCAGGTTCCTTGCGAAGGTGTGTTTGTCATTATTTTCTTTAAAACAATGTATAAGAAAACAGTTATTAGATTTGGCTTTTGTGATATCCAAAATAATCAAGGTCTCGGTACATTGTAAGTGTTATCAGCCTCGGCCTTGGGCTCTGCCGATAACACTTACTTTGACCTTGATTATTCCGGATATCACAAAAACCTCATCCAATAATTGTTTCTTAGTGGTACTGCACTGGACTGTGGGACAGAAAACAAACCAATATCTGCATGTTTCTAATAGAGCATAAAAAGATGACATAAACAGGGTTGTCAAAAGTAGCCGGCTGCCAATGAAAATTGCCGCCTACTTGGTTAGTACCGGCCCGCTACTCTGCTTGGCATTTCTTTACGGATGGCGTTTTTTACATAAAATATCCCTGGACTGGCCACTTACTTTGACAACTCAGCTTCTACTTCAAAACTTTCCGACAACCCTGCATAAATCACGGTCAAAATCCCTCGTGAAAAGTTCCTTAGAATGAGTGACTATCAAGCATCTTCACACACTAGGATTTTTTTTTGTTTTTTACAACAATGCCCCAAAAAGCAAAGCTGTCACAGTGAATTACAAAAGAAAAAAATATTTTCCTTCCTGACATGTCTGAGCTGACGCAGATGCTTGTCAGCGCTGGCGTGTACTCTTGTCCAAGCTGACACGTTCATTGCATCAGTTGCACGTCTCCGCTGTTCCCTTAGTTGTGACTTGCACTTTATGTGTATTTTAAGGGTGTCAAGCTTGTGACATCATCACTTTGCAGGCTACCACCTCTCCAACTAAGACAACCCTGCAGGGGAGCACCCTCCCCTTCCCCCTGTGGCTGCCACTGTCATTACTATCACTAGTGATTTAGTACTGTTCACCAATAATAATTATTATCTTTTTTTCGTATGTGTTGGTTAGGGTAAAAAAAGATAAAAGAACTGCAAGTCAGACTTAAAACCATGGCACTATCACTGAAGATAAATATTGTGAAGAACAGTGCTATCAAGACATTACAGGTACACTGCATCTCTGTGACTTTGACTTCAACTTGTTGATTGAAATGCATCATTATCTTTTTTGCTTGTTTCAATCAACTATTCAAAAACCTTAATTAGTTTAAAGCTATTTGCAGGTAAAAGGTTTCTAGTACTTAGTGTTTTGTCTACACACAGCTGTAAATACAACATAACATTAGTTGGTCATAAGACAGTGTCTGATTAACAACTGCATCGCTCAGTGGAGATTGGAGTGCCTGTGATTACCATGTGTTCCACTGGTGGCCACCCAGCAATTCCCTAGACCGAGTACCATTGCCATGGCTGGTAATAAATCCTTCCATGGTTGTTTTCAAGTTTTTATACAGAACAGTTGGGGAATTTCTATTATCACTGCTTGAATGAGCGTAGGAAACTTACCAAGTTTGAAGATTATGCATCCAACGTGAGCAGAGATATTGTGACACAAATTCGTAAAATTTTACAGATGTTTGTATAGTTGGGGCGCAAACTTGCCCCCCCCACCATACAAACGTCTGCTACTTTGCAGACCTTTATCTTCATTAGTTTTCAACAAATGACTTTTAACCTTGGCAACTTTAATTTCAAAGCCTCCTTTTTAGTAAAGTTGACAGAATTGCGCTAACTGGTCACAGTCAAAGTTGAAAAAACCATGGAAGGCCATCTATCCCCACAACCTTGAGCCTCGTGGTCCCCATGCAAGGCTGCCAGCTAGGCACCTACATGTACTTTGTTTGTTCAGTAACTAAAATGGTTCCTTGTTGAGGTGTATGTTTTTCCCAAAAAGAATTATTTCCAGTTCTGTCAGTGCAAGGAAATGTTGTTGTTGTCTGAAATAATGAATTTCCCTGTCTATTGTTACCAGTTTAACCCAGAGGCTACTGTTGCTGAGGCATTAAGGATCATAAGAGAAAGAGTTCATGATGCTACACCTGGAAAAAGTAAGAAAAACAAACACAATTTTTTTGTTTCCTTTTTCTCACTTGGTACAGGCAGGGTTCATACGGAGTTTTGAATTCTTGAAAAAGTTTTGAAAAAGTCTTGAAATTTGCCCAGAGAGATAAAGTCTAGAAAAATGGTTAAAAGTCTTGTTTTTTTTTTCAAAGCTGTGATTGCTTTATAAATGAATTTTTTTTGTTTGGTTCAAATCTTATTCAAGCTTGGCCTCGTATGTTTGCAGTGTATCATGAAAAAAGCTTTGCTTTGCTTTTTTAAAGGTCTATATTGATCACCTATTTGATAAACTTGGAAAAATGAATAAATTGTTTTGGAATAAGATGTGGAAAAAGTCTGGATCCAAAAATCTGTACAAAGCCTGTACAGGTTAATGCTCCACAAGTCCAAGACCAGCATTCATTAAATTGGTTTTGAGGTTACAATTAATTTCTAGAATCATTTATCACTACACTACAGCTGTACAAGAAGTTGCATCTGGCCACTATATTTCTCCAGTTGAGGATTTTTTAATTTTGAGCCCCGGTAAGATAAGTGAAGAAGTCCAGATCAGTAAGAGAAAGGAAAAGGATTACATGTACATATACAGTACATTCAAGCTCTGTGATGAGACTGTTGCACAATGATTTTGCAATAACCAATCAAAAATGCAGTGTCCTTACCAGGATTTTTTACGCTGGGGTCCACAGGACCTATAGGGAAGATAAAAAGGGGTCATGAGGGAGAAAATCAGCTTACAATTTTTAGAGTCAGCTAACTCAATATTTTCACAGGTCTGAATTCGAGTTATTGGGGTCAACTGGATGTCAGAGTTGCCATCTTGATAATTAATAGTTACTGATTTTTCAGCACTTCAGTGTATGGTACATCGCAAATTTAACTTACAAATTTTGTCAGAAATGGTAACGTGATTATTCTTTTTGTGATAAAACGTGATCTGTTTATTGCACAATCAAACTGCCGTAGTGGTTTTACTGTTTTACAACAAGAAGAGCTAATGAAATGGCATCTGAGGGGAGTTAAAGAATTTGAGTGATCTGGGTAAATTCAGTGAAATTTTTATCAAAGAAGAGTTAGCGAGGAATGAGAGTTATCTTCAGGAGTTCCAGTCAACTGAGTAAAAGTGGCTGAAAGGTGGGGTGAAATTCCAAGGAAATTGGACTTAGTTTGAGTTAGCACTGAGTTTGAGTTATCTGAGTTCGAGTTATCAAGGTGTATATTATAAGGAAATGTACATATTTGTACTTATGTTTATGTATGTTTTGTAATAAGTGTTTTTCCTTCCTTCCGCCCTTGAGACCCCTTGGGGTACATGTATTTATAGTGCAGCATTTCCTGAAAAAGTGTGATAATGGTGCAATGCCGCAGTCTGTTAAGAACACTGAGCATGTACATCATTAAAATAATAAATACCTGACAGTATTAAAGCAAAATTTTCACTAAAATATTCTGACAATATTAACCATCAACTCAGACATGATTTTGCACTCGGCTATACAGCTGTAAGATGATAGTTGCTACTGGGCTACCTCAGAATTGACATCCTAGCTAATCCACAAACTTGTTTTTAATAAGTACATCTGAATACTGTAGCTGCAGTTAAGATAATATGTACATGTGATTATTATTTTCTAGTATCAGACTATGGCTTGTTTTGGCAAGATGATGACCCATCAAAAGGAAAATGGTTAGAACCCGCAAGAGCACTCAACTTTTATCCACTCAAGTCTGGTGTAAGTACACTGTAACAAAATGCTAACCACCATGTCTTTTCCTTCAGAAAAGCCACTCTTAGTCAGGGTTGTCACTAAGATTTTAAGTTGCCGGGTAAATACAACAAGTAGGCGGGGAATCAAATGGCTAGGGATTTGTTTTGGTTCTATTTTTCTACTATTTTCCAATAAAAGTAGCTGGGGGCCACTCTCTTAGTAGCCGGGGAAAATCACCGGCCCCCGGCTCTTAATGATAACCCTGCTTAGTTATTGTGAACACCAGAAATAGTTATTTCTGCAATTTTATAGTCTGAAAAGAGAAAGCCAATCAGGCCAGAGAAAACTTACTGGAACAAGCAATACAGTAATAATAGTTTATGGTTTTGTTCCTTGCTTGCATGTCCTGAACTTTGATGTTATTGGTCACAACACAATAAATATGTTTTTCCGATTTTGACAGTAAACCATTGTATAGTTTACCACTAAAAGTTGTTAAGCTGTTTTAATTAAAGGGACACAGTCGGCTGGCATGATGTACCCGTGCATTAAATGCCATTTCTTAGCTGATTTGCACATCATAAGATACACAATCCATACTGTTTTAACCAAATATGATGAAGTAATATCATAGGATGAGAAAAGGAATACTCTGCAAGAAGGTTTTCTGTAAAATATAGAAGATGGAATCCAAAACTATATTAAAATGGATTTCTAGATGTATATGTATCTGACAAGTACCTTTGATTTCGGGTTGAGGTAAACACTTTTCAAAGTGGCAAAAGTAGTGTCCAGGTCAGCGCGGTTCCAAAGCCGACTGATGAAAATAGTATAAATCAAATCTCATACTCATAGTTATTCTCATCCTTGAGTCTTAAAGTCTCTATTGTACAAGTTCAGATAGGTAGCAATGATTTTCTTTGTTTTCAGGACATGCTTGAATACAAGACCAAAGTAAGACATCTCAAAATAAAATTTATGGATGGGTCTGTGAAAACGTTGCAGGTAATTAAGTTGTGCCTATTGTATACACTCAGCTATTAGATCTTCATGTTCAATTTCTGTAGCTGTAAATTGGGTTAAAATAATTTCACAAGAAACATGTCTCAAGAGACAGGGCTTCTGATATTTTGCGCGGTTGTGGAGCTGGGAAATTCAGCTAAATCTGCAAAATCCCGCGAAATTCACAAAAACACGAAAAATACCGGGAAATGCATTAGAAATCGTGTACATGTCTGTACAACATATTTGAAACTTATTTCAGCTATAGGGGCTATTTAGGTGCCGTAAACTTGCACTGAAATGTGCAAACAACATCCCGAAACTACGAGGCACTAGCCATAATGTTAAAGGCTTTGCCATTGGTTCATTTCTGGAGCCTCGTTGTTGAAAGAGCAAATGATGATCTCTGTCAGAAAAATGTTAAAAACACTGGTCTGATCCGCGCAAAACTGATCAATTTCTAGCGAAATTTGCCTTGAAAATAACCACAAAATTGACCGTTTTTTACGGATCCTTTTTGGTGAAGTTTGCCCCGAAAACTCCTGCGAAATTACCGCGAAATTGGCCGATTGTTTGGCTAATTTGTCCCTAAAATCCCCCGAAATTTGACTTTTTCTTCCGCGACCTATCAGAAGCCCTGCAAGAGAGGCCATATGACTGAATTAGGAGGTCTGTCTCTCAATCAGTGATTTTGTCACAAATAGAACTTTATGGTGAGTTCTGCATGGGACTCATCTTGAGAAAAATCATAGGTTCCAGCCTAGAACCATTGAGTCCCAGATCAAAAAACAATGACTCCTAAATTGAAAATGCTTAGGCCTTTATCTAACGAGACAGTTAATGTGAAGAGAGACTCCAAAACTCTGTAAATTACAGTTTAGTGGAATAAAAATGTGTTCCTTCTATTGTGAAGCAACAAAGACTGAAAGAAATATGTGTTGTTAAACAACAGCTGTAAGAACAGCCACAGAAATTCACCAAATAGGATATTCTACAAAACTTCTTCAGATCGATCGATCAATTTTTGTGTCCTATGGGATGCGTCTTTGGAGATTTTTATGTGTCAGGTACGTAGAGGTTACAAAATCACTTCTCGATGCACAATTTTTGTATAAAATGACATAAGGTGAAAAGTGCCTTGCAAGAGCCTAATCTGGGTCAGAGAGTGGCAGTGTGCAAAGAAAGTTGGTTTCACACTTCCCATTCCGACTTATTACATTTCTTCTGTAATTTGAATTCCCCAAAGAACCTCTGATCACTTGCCTGTTAGGCAAGTCAAGACAGAATTCACTAGTCTGCTAGCAAAATCCACCAACCTCAGGCTATCAGACCCGCCTTTCTTTGCATGCTGAGTGGTTCTTGCTCAGCAAGTTAATTGTGAAGACGTACTGCCCTATTTTGTACATGTATAACTTAAACATTGTAGTCAGTGAAAATTAATAAAGTAGTGACTTATTACTAATAGTAAGTTTTGTTTGTTTGTTTTTTTTTTCATTTAGATTGATGACAGTCACAATGTTGGTCAGATTTTAGACTCTGTTTGTATGAAAATGGGTATGTCTAGTGTTTTTGCTGCCAAGGAGACAAATTACTATCAGGGACCGCGCAGAGGGAGGGGCTGGGGGGGCTTTAGCCCCCCCACTTTTTTGCAAGAATAAAAATAAATTTAACAAAAAAATAATTTAACAAAAGTAACGGAGTGAAAAATAGCAAAAAATCGTTAATTCGAAAGTGACCAGAGTTACTGGCAAAGACAAACGCGCAGATAAATAGACAGAATGAAGCATTAGTCGTTACAATTGTAAAATATTTTTTCGCTTCTAACCTAGCAGAGGTAAACGTCTTTTAAATGGCTTCTTTTTCCTGCGGACCTCTCAGGAAAACGCGTTGTTTCGTAATTGGTCAATTTCGATCCAAAGTAATAACTGGGTTTAGTTTATAAGGCGATTCTCAAACAAATTGTTTATTAGTTTCAACCTTGATTTTTCGAAGATCATGAACTTATTGTTTCTCTTGTTATTGTGCGTCCTGATTTTAGCTCGATCAGCGCGAAGTCCGTCTTTTGATGTCAGGCTTCACGGCTCGTTGAGCATTCCAATTGCAAGTTTTGTTGAACGCGGTCTGTTTATAAAAACATTTTGTCATCGAAAGCACTTAAACCGCAGAATTGTGTATTACTATAGCTCTGGTCATCAAGAAACATTCAATCCGGCGGTTATTACGAACAAAGAAGTGCACATGGTACACGGCAACATAAATACGAACGACGAGACTTCACATACCACTAGTAATGCAAAGAAGAGACCTCTTAAAATTTCTGATTACTTTTCCAAACAAAATGGAAAACCTTCTTTATCTGGTGAGTAAACTCTGCATAATTTTTGCTACTTTTTTCTGAATCTGTTCTATAATTGAATTTTCATTCACTAAATTATTTCCAGTTGCCGTGTAAATATTTTGAATGAATGATTAAACAATCAGTATTGAACTCGTCTTTCGTATGATATGAAGATATACAGATCTAGGAGGGTGTTATCCACCGGGCTCAAGCCCTCGGCTTTGGCGGATAACCCCCTCGATCTGCATAACTCTTCATATCATACTCAGCCTCGTGCAATAATTGCTCAGTAATTATACAGCCTTGAGTTCAAGGCAGCTTAAGCAAAATCGTTGGATTTCTGGCTTATTTATAGTAATTAAAGGTTGATATCAGTAGTATAACATAACAATCTATGATATTTCAATTTAGTGATGGTGAATTTTCAGACCCGATAGCAACATCACTGAAGATGTGGAAAAAAATCAATAGTTTTATCGTTATTCGCATTCTCCGTCACTTTAGAGAAATTGAATAGAAATCCACAAGCATGCCCCCCCCCCCCCAAAAAAAAATTTTCCTTCACGCATTCTTCTTTAGCCCCCCCACTCGAAAACTTGCTGCGCGGTCCCTGACTATCCACTGTTTAACCCTTTAACCGGCAATCGCAATAAAACATGTGTATAATTATGACATAATGTATGCATTCCTGCAAGGATTACCAAACAGCCTTTATTTGAGTTTTCGGTAATCAGGGATCCATATTGTGCAGCTAAGTGGTCATCCTTGACAACTAAAAATTTGTACTGATGAGTGAGACTCCACCTAGCTTGGAGCACTGCAAAGTCTCCTTATTCCTTTTAGGCAATAGCTACCCAGCTGTATAGGATAAAACACAGATTAAAATATACCACGGAGGTACTGACATCAAGAATAACAAATGTACAATGTCTAACTTTTGTGATGTCCTTACAGTGTGTGATTGTTGTTCTCTTAGGTATCACAAATGTTGAAGAATTCTCATTGCTAGTTGAAGGACAAAAAGAAGAGAAAGAAGAAGTAGAAAAAACAGGAACACTCAAGCGGGTTTGTATTCATGAACAAGTCATGAGATATTTCTGAATTAGCACAGCTGTTGTAACCAACAACTTATTTGGTAGAGTTTGAACAAAACGCATTACTACTGGAACTGGTGGACCGCAAATTCAGAGATATGTACAACATCTTATTGTGGCACCACGCATTAGCAACTTACTTTAGGTCACATGGCCTTGTTTGTCAAATCAAAAAGGTGAACCCAGATGGTTTTTCCTTTCCTTTCTCATTGCTGAGTTCATTGTTTGTGTATTAGAGTTATGCAACTGAAAGAACTTTCATTGATTGGCTTTCTGGGGACGTTTCGTTCTTTTCAGTTGACAGACAATGCCATTTTCTGACTTAGCCTATGAAAAGCTCATGAGTGTGACCTTTTGAGTTCATCTTTTGGTTGATAAAGCCATGTGACCTAAGCTGTCAACTTTTGGCATCAAAATCAACAGTACCGTCATTCTGATCTTTGAATATTGTGGTCTATCTGTTTTGGTACTGTGTAGAACCTAGTGTTCAGAGCAAGTTACTTTTTAAAGGCTGTGCTCTAAGAAAAACTAAAAGAAGCCCAGTGCTCTGAACCTGTGAAATCCAGGGTGCCCAGCTGCACATAACTATGATTTCTATTAGAAAACTAAGATTTTCTAGCACTTGGCATAGGGGCAAAAGTTAGGTGCCTGAGGGCGACTGGGAACTGGTAGGACACAACCAGTTGTTTTTTATTCCACCTTTCCACCATTTTACAGTAATAATTTATAAGGAAAGGAGAACACGCAAATTTATTGTTCCACAGTGTTGCACAAAGCTGTATAAAGCTGCTTTATTGCACCATAAATTCGTGGTGTTATAAAAATATGGTAAAACACTCTAACCCATATTGTTGTAAAAATTAATTTTTTATAAAGCATGACAAGTCTGTTAAAGATGCATCACTAAAAAAGATGGAAGAGAGGGATAAGAAAAAAATGGACCAGCTCAAGAAAAAACTCCACACAGACGATGAAGGTTTGATTTACACTTTTTCCATTTGTACTGGGCGTAAAGAGTTTGTTATAATAATAATAATAATAATAATAATAATTTAAACATATTTATACAGGATTGCTGCATCAGTTTTAAGAAAAAACTTCTATCAGTGCAGGTCCTGTAAAAAATAAAAAATAAAAAATAAAAGATTAAAAATATGGATAAAGATCAAATTACAATATTATAAAATAGTTACAAATGAGTGTTCATATTTATTTATTGTTTTGAGATTGGAATTGGTCATTCATGTTTCAGTTGCGGGGCATGCTGAAAAGGAAACTTGTTTATTTCAAAATTAAAATTATTTTTTCTTGAGATTTACGCAAGTGCTATAAAAAAGTAGCTATGACTGCCCTTCACACACCTCTCTTTTCAGCTTTTTAATTTACATTTCAATCAGTGAGTTAAAATTTAGTACAGTTAAAATCAAATTGTAACAGTAATTATAGTGGAAACTCTGTTCATGGAACACACTTGAACCAAGGGAAGTGTCCCCAGAATAGAGGAGTTCCCTGACTGGAGGCTGGGTTGGGTTTGTTAATGATTAACCAAATTCATGTATTTACATACTTTCTTAATCTGTTTTTGTTTGTTTTCTAGTTCACTGGCTTGACCATGATAAGACGCTTAGAGAACAAGGAGTTGATGATTCATGCACAGTTTTGTTGAGGTGGGCAGTTCATTATCTTCTTATTTACTGTAGTTTGATTTCTGTTAACTCTCAAGCCTTAAATATATCAGCAACAAGTATTTTCCATCCATTTTGTATGAGTTGAATACATGTAGTAACGTGCATTCATTGTCCTTGAAATGAGGAGGCGGCATGACCAAGTGGTTAGAGCGCTGGACTTTTGAGTCAGAGGTCCTCTAGGACACGCTTGTAAAATAGCTGACTGGTGTGCTTCTCATCAGTTGGAATTCTTAACCTTGTTACATTACATATGTTACATTTGAATTATATTGGAGCTATATCTACGGTAGTACTCAAATTTTTTTTATCATTTTTCTTTTTTTGTTTTCATTTATTAGACGGAAGTACTTTTACTCAGATCAAAATGTTGATATTAAGGACCCAGTCCAGCTTGGCCTGCTCTTTGTTCAGGTAAAGTATTAGAATAATGTTCTTCAATCATGATTAAATGCTGGAATGTTGCTAAGAGCCAGCTGCAGAGTAATTTCACCGGCTGAAAGAGAACTTACCACCAGATCAAATTTTCTGGAAAACAAATACATGGGGTAATTTGAAAAGGCAGCTGAGTTAAAAAAGAAGCTGGCTTGCAGGGCTGTCAATAAGGGCCGGTAGCCGGCCAAAACCGCCGGCTAGTTCGCCATCCTTAGCCGGCTACTTCCATCTCCTTCTACCATAAGTGAGTCATGACTGCTAAAAAAAATAAGCACCATCGAATAAAATTGTGAAGCATCCGTTTCCCAGTTTTGACTGACATTGAACGCATATTTAAACAGCTTCAGACCTGTGAAACGTTCGAACCGTGCGACGTCGTGGAACGCCTGGGACATTTCGACGGCATTGCTTCCAGTCTTGCGTGTATTCCGACGAAACAACATGGCGTCCGCGGTGGAAAATACCTATTGAACACCCCTGGAGACGCGATTTCCGAGATTCTAAATTTCACAATGTCCCTAGATGCCTTGGCCCTCAAAAACGTGCGCCTTTGGTACGAGTTCCAAAGCCGCCTACTATTCATTATCATCCTGCTATTGAAAAACGTTTTGACAGCCCTGGGCTTGCCTAAGAAAAAACCCTGCTTAGCTTTTCCGTAGGTACAGTGTACATTCTTGTAAATGATGAGTCATTTTCTCCCTTCAACTAGTTTTTACTGCCTGACTCTAAATTCATGTACTTTTTAAAAGGACAGGAAATAACTCTGCTTTTACGTTAAGGAATCTGAGAAATGGCAAATATTGCATTGAGTGATCAAAAGGTGCGTTTTTTTTTAATTTATAGTGTAGAGATGGTATCTTAGATGGAACCCATCCTTGCACCCAAGAAGAAGCAATTCAGGTACTATAATTTTATACTATGATTATTTCAAGGGAGCTCCATGCCAAACATCCGTGCAAAAAAGAACTGAGGAGGCAAGGGAATGTTTCTGCATGGAGTCTGTCGATATAGCTTATTCTAGAGACAGTGTAACTAAAGAAAGGTGCAATTGTAGCCCTAAGTCCAAATTCATAAAACCCTTCAAGGTAAAGGTATATCATAAGTACTGTTTGTTAGCAATCATCTGGTCTTATTATCATAATATTATGATTTCCAGCTTGGTCTGCTCAAGTAATTGGGTACCAGACTGTGGGATGGTGGGCCTGTGCTTGATTCCTGGCCAGACCAACACTCAGGGTATTTACATAACAAAGAAGGAAATGCCCCCTTTGCTGTGATAGGCTGTTAGACTTTTTCGTCTTCTTGGATGCTAATTAGTATTACTTCTGACAGTAAAGGGTGATAAGGTGAACTTCAAATCAAGGCACAAAAAATACCAGTTCTCAACCAACTGATCGTGGCATTAATACGGAGAAAAGTTTGATTAAGAACTCATCATAACTTCACCCTTCTGACACAAGTTACATTAATTTTTTTGTTCATCAACACATTATTTTTTTTTAAAAAGCTATCGTCTTTTGCTATACCCATCATATTTTTCTATCTCAGCTAGCAGCTATCCAGATTCAAGTTCAATTTGGTGACTTTGAAGATGCCAAGTATAAGTTCATCGAGTAAGTGTTTTGATTAAAACTTGTTATGAGTTGAAAATAATAGTAAATCAAATATCAAACATTAGAGACAAACACGAGTTTGTCACGAGTTTGATCACAATCCATATTGATGTTGAATTCAGAACTATTTTTCTCTCTGGAAGATTGAGGAAAACAGTGAGCCCTTCCAAAAGGGCATTTAAGCTATAGGGAGCAGCAGGGGATATGTTGGCATTGGTAGCAAACTCAAAAATGAGACAAATCTCTGTCAACTCTTATAAGTCTTAGGGCTGTTAATAAGGGCCAGGAACTGAGGATTTCCTTTTAATGCCATGAATGTGATGCCAAACTACATTCAGAGTGGTGGATCCAGGGGAGGGGCCAGGGGGGCGCCCCCCTTATTTTTAGACCAAAATGAAAAAAAAAAAAAAATGAAATGCCTTCCAACCCCCCAGGGTCTGGAGCCGCCACTGTTTCATACATTTAAAATGAAGGAAAGTGGAAGAAAAATAGAACCAAAAGAAATCCCTAAGCTGTTTGATTCCCCTCTCCTACCTTATTGGTACTTATTTTCTCAAGTCTTTAATTTCGCATTTCTTGTGATTTTAAAAAAATCACCATTTCATTAAAGGCCCGCAAATAAAAATCCTGGCAAAATTTAAACAAACCAGATTTCATACTCATATTAAAAACTCAAATCCCGGAAAAAAGGATTCACATGATAAGTGTTGACAAACAGACCTCTCTCTATCCCGGACTACCGGCCGGGACTTCCTTTGAACCCTGATACATTTACTTATAGCTTTGGTGTTTGTTTTAGTCTTTAGTGTCTTTTTAGCGTCATAGTTTTCTGTTGAAAATGTTATCAGGTCAATGGAAAAACAGTATTTTTTTTAAAGTTATACTGTTATTCAAGCCTTGATTAATTGCTTTTGACTGATTGATTGAGCCCAGAGAAAAAGACCCATTTGGAGATAGGAATGAGAAACAATGCACAATAATGAACTCAAGCCTTGTTTTCCAGGATTTGCCTTCTAAGCAACACCGGAGAGAGACAGTTGCTGTCTCGATGAATTTACTCCATCATTCCCACTTATCTTCATAAATACACTGATGTTACATTCATGAAAGACCTCTGTACTGTAGTAGTGCTAAGTACAGTCCATTGTAAAAGGAAGCAAAATCAAAAAATGAAACAATTTCATTTTAAAGTTAATATCACCTTTAATTTTTAAAACTCCTTTATTATACTTTTGTCTTTAAAGCTTAAAGGAATTTCTTCCAAAGGAATATGTCAAATCTAAGAGTATAGACAAGAAAATTAAAGAGGTAAGACTTTTTTTTAGAAAGCCCTATCTTCTGAAAGTGACAGCCGTGAGGGAAATGTCATCGCAAAGTTTAAGTATTCTTTCAGCATATTAAGCTAGTGGGCACTGAATCTACCAACAGGAACTTTTGCTTTATTGCTTTTTTGACAATTTCTATAAGGTTCTTTTTCTAAATGTTTCATACATGTACCTTTGCAGGGCTTGGAATTAAAAAAATCTTCAGGTCACCTTTTGGCGACCAACCGGAGAAATATAGTCGCCAGATTTAAATTTTTAGTCGCCAGTTTGTAAAATGTAAATGATGCAGCTGATAAGTACAGGGCTTCTGATATTTCGAGCAGGAGCAGAGCCGCGAAATTCACAAAAACATGCGAAATACCATGAAATTCAGTAGAAATCTTATCAAATACATGTCTGTACAACATATTTGAAACTTACCTCAGCTATTGGGGCTATTTACTTGCCGTAAACTTGAAAAGTTATCTTGATACTTTGTCACTGAAACATGCAAATAATGTCCCGAAACTACCAGGCGTAGATTATGTTGCGAAAAACTGGGCACTATTATTAGTCGCCAAGGAGAAAGTGTTAGTCGCATTGGCGACGGTATCAGTCGCAATTTCGAGCCCTGCTTTGTATGTTCTGTTTTTTATCATAGGAACACAAGAAGGTCTCTGGTCATGATGAGCTGCAGGCAAAGTACAAATACGTTCAACTTTGTAGGGGGTTGAAGACGTATGGAGTGACATTCTTTCTTGTGAAGGCAAGTTACCAAATCAGTATTATTGTATAGAATATATATATTTATGTTTTTGAGTTCCACATGTCTTATGTATGTTCATTAGTTTCTTAGTGTAAAGTTTAACCTCCATGTGTGACCACTTCTCATAAGCGAATACCTCCCATAAGCAACCACTGATGCGAAACAGCAAACTTTTCCCAGTCAGAGCCCTACACTTAGAGCCCCTCATAAACAACCACCTCCTGTAAGCGACTAGAACCATGTTTTGGGGCTGATAGGTTTATAATTTTCTATTTTTTTTTTTAACCTCTTGCAAGCGACCACTTATTAAAGGCATGGTGCGCTATGTCCGCTGCATGTACTATGCTACTCACAATAAGCAAGAACTTTAAGTGACAACATGGAACTATATATATAATGTAACTGAGAAATCGCTTGCAAGAAATTGTCTTCCATAAACTAGATGTGTCTGGATGTCTTCTTGGAAGAGACCTCCTTTGGATCTTTTGATTCTTTCCTTTTTTTAAAAGGTTTAAAGGCTTGTTTAAAGGGGAAGGTGAACTTAGCTTGATCCAGCTAGTTTACTGGCATTCCACTCAAATTCCTAGAAACAAATAATTCAAATACAAAATAACAGGATTAAAACCCCAACTGGTGGGAGGCAACCAGTTGGCTATTTGCAACGGTGGTCGAGGATTTGAACTTGGGACGACCGAGAAGAAATCCAGAAAGTCGCCAGCCAGAGCGGGACTCGAACCCGGAACCGCTGGATTGTGATTTGACACGCTCACCACTCCTGCCTCTTATAATAGACTTTTATCAAATACTCAACAGCTTAATGATACTAATGTTACATTACACTGTTTACGTAAACACTAATACACATATATACACACTTTTATACCTCTTACTACAAGGAGAGATGTTAAAAAATACTAGTAGAAAGTACAAAAAAATTGACACATTTGAATATATTTATATAGATATTTGTGCCTCATAAGTTTTGAAATTAATTAATTGATTAATCAAACAAAGTAATAAATTCTGAGTTTTTTTGTTTTTATTGGTGACAGGAGAAAATGAAAGGCAAAAATAAACTGGTTCCCAGGCTGCTGGGCGTGACAAAAGAAAGCATTTTAAGAGTGGATGAAAAAACAAAGGAGGTCAGTGTCTAGTTAACTCTTTACGCTCCAATAGTGTCCAAAATCAATTTTCTCCTACCAATATCCATAGATTGTCAAGTGCAAAGTCTATGAGAATTAATAAAATGATCACCAAGAGAAAAATCTTTGATCTTTATCAAAATCTCTCAACTAATTCTTTAAGGAATGTATGGAGATCAGTTTGGAGAATTTGTATGTGGATATTAGGGCTTAATGGGCTAATAGGGAGCTTCAGTATTGATGAAGGTGAAAGCACAGTGTTCTTTGAAAATACAGTGGAATCCGTTTTGAGTACTTGAGTTTTCAAAACTCTTGATTTTTTTTTTAACCAAAAGTTGTTTCTCTTTGATTTTCTTCGGTCAGACACTGTTATTTTACCCCGATTTTTCAAACCCTCAATTTTTCGAAACTTTGATATTTTGAACTAATTCTGTTTCCTTTCGAAAATTTACATTTGATTTCTCTAAAAGTTTGAAAATTCAGGAACCAACAAAAACCTGTTTAGCCACATGCACAACTGTGCAAATGAGTCATTTTTGAAAGAGTCACCAAGAAGCTACAGCGCTGTTGTTACGCAATCAAGAATCATTTAAGATTTTGTAGAGAAGAGTTTCCATGTTGAAAAGAGGAGCTTATCACCTATTATTTTGGCTGAGTGAAGAAAGAAAAGTTTTGAAGTAGACGGCTGAGTTGTCAAAGTAAGGGGCTAGCTAGTCCAGGGATATTTTATTTAAAAAACACCATCTGTAAAGAAATGCCAAGCAGAGTAACGGGGCAATACTAACCAAGTAGGCTGCGATTTTCGCCGGCAGCTGGCTACTTTTGACAACCCTGTCCGCAGCCTGCTTGTTTCTCATACACTGAAGACAGTACCATGTGTGGTAAAACAGGTGTGATGCACTACCACCTTCGATTTTTTGAATTCCTGATTTTTCGAACCAATTTCCATTTCCCTTGGAGATTAGAAAGATCAGGATTCCACGGTATTTATATTGAGTTGTGCAAGGAACAGTGCAGTTATTTCTTTAGAACTGCCATTTACAGTTGGAATGATTTGTTGCATTGACCTTCAGGTGATGAAGACATGGCCACTGACAACTGTCCGACGCTGGGCAGCATCTCCAAACAGTTTTACTCTGGTAGGTTTTTTCCAGACTAGTTGCTTTCTTTTGACATTGCTGAGCTGACTAGACATGTTGACCATTGTTTGTTCTCCCAAACACGGTGATGATTGTTTAATATTTAAATTATTTTGTTAACAGGACTTTGGTGATTACTTAGAGTCATACTACTCAGTACAGACCAATGAGGGAGAAAAGATCTCTCAGCTTATTGCTGGATACATCGATATTATATTGAAAAAGGTGAGAAGTAATACTATGTGCCTCACAAATGCTTCCTTCTTCTGGCGCTAATTTTCACAGTTATTAAAGTTTATCAGTTGTTGCTCATAGTTTATTAAGAATAAATGTATTCAGGGTAGTTATCTCTGTGATTTGTCACAATCCAATCAAAGAACACAATACATTATTTATTGTGTTAGTCATTACTAAGGCCAGATTACATTTGTCTACATGAAAGTGAAGTGCAGAACAAATAAAAATGTTTCATCGCAGTCATAGACGCAACTTATGCAGTTGTCAAATGAAAGCCTGAATAAGTTCACACTTGCCAGGATTCAATCCCTGACCCCTGCAGTACTGGTGCAGCGCTCTGGCCAATTTAGCTAGCAAGCCAGTTGTAACTGGGAGCAGTCATTAGACTGGTTTGTAATATTCCAAAGGTCTCCCCACGAGAAAAATCCCTGAGTCATTATTTCATCTTCATCTTTCTGGGTGCCGTATGAATTTTATATATCCTGTAATTATTGGAACCACAGAATGAAGAAAAATATGCAGAGAAGATTATTGCAGTTGCAGATGCAACTTATATATCATTTTAAAATTGTCGCGGTGAGACAACGCAGCTGGGTATAATAAATGTACAGTCGACTCTCTCTTAACAGACACCTCTATAAGACGGACACCTAGAGTTGGTCCCTGCCTTTCTTTACTCCCCTTATTTGACTCTCTATAAGATGGACACCTCTCTAAGATGGATGCTTAGTGCTGGTCCCAAAGGTGTCTGTCTTAAAGAGAGTTGACTGTACATCCATGAAGGTTCTCGATTCAATTTTACCATGTTAAATACTGGCACAACAGCAGGACACAAAAAACTCATTGCCTTTCATGCGTTATCCTTCATGCGTTGTGTAAAACCAATTTTAAACCGATTAAATTTTGTTTATCTGTTTTTTTGCTTGCAGAGGAAAGGTCAAGAAGGTTTTGATCCAGACTTTGATGAAGAGTCAACAATGGTGGAAGATTCTGTGACCCCATCAAAGTAAGTATAGTCTCATTTCACAGACTGCATAAAGACAGGGCCAGAGAACAATAATAATGATTATTTTTGTATGTTATTTTCAAGTTAATGCAGAACCCTGCTCTTCATTTTGGAGATTGTTAACATCTGATGCCTGAGATTGACTTCCTACATACATGTGTAGTTATCATATATCTTTTTTCCCTTTTTGTTTATTTTTGTTTATCAATAATTATAATTTGTTTACTGTTTATGTAAGCTTATGTCACGCATGATTTTGATTTGATTCAAGTATACATGCAGGGTTTGTCAGTCAGCGCTATCAGCTTTAACTTTGTTTTGCATGAAAACAATATTTCACAAGGGCTAGTTGAGTCGCGTCAGTTCTTAATCATTTTTTATATATGATAGACAAACAAAATACAGGCCCCCGTTGCTCGGGGAACGCTCAATATCAGGAATATCAATTGAGTTTGTTTGAAACTTAATAGTTTGTTTAATACTTTTGACTGTCTATACTAGGGGTACATATCTTGAACGTCAAACTAACAAGGTTGGCCATGCTGCTACTGGATCAGTTGCTTTACCAGCTGTTATGCGAGCAGGAGGTCCAGGTACATCATTTTTGCCTTTTATGATCAGTTTTTCAAAAATTTCTCTTATTTATTCCTTAGTCCGTTCATCTGTCTGCTTGTCCTTCAACTTTTTGCTCATTTGTTCATTCGTTAATTATTTGCCCAGACACACATTTATTTGCAGAGTTACAAATAATTTTTGTAAAGAAAATTGGTAAAGAAAGTACATGGTGAAGAAATCTGAGAGAAACCATGGGGCTTTATAAAGAGTCAAATTTCCTCAGAGGACTTAAAAAAATGAGCCTAATGCAACAATATGGACCAGCTAAAGAAAAAGAAAGCTTTAAACGCGAAAAAAAAAAATAGATGTAAGTTTACAGCTGTATCAATATTATTTTAGTTAATAATAAGAGAACAGGTCTGCACTTTGGTATACTAATTGCTGTAATTTGTTTTGTCTGTCTGTTGATGTTTTTGTTTTTAGGAGCTTCAAGATACAGTGTGGGTAAGATGGAGCCGGCACAGTATGGAACAGTCACAGGATCAGCTCATTCTGCCCACAGGCCACCCATGGTTAGTGCAAGCATTATAACAGTAATTTGAGACACTGAGTGCATAAGTGTACATCATCATCATCATCATCATCATCATTATTATTATTGTTATTATTATTTATTTTTATTGTGTTTTGCAATTGGTTAATTGAATTTACGTGGTTTCAGTTTTGTAGAAGGTGATTAACTTGTTAATGCTTGTTAAAATAATTCTTAGAAGTAAGGTTATGTTATGTATGTTGTATGTTAATCCCTGTAAAATGATGGTCTCATGCAACTCATACTGTGCTATTGTATTCACAGGAGTTCAAATCTTTCAGTCGTAAATAAACAAATTATTTTTAAAATGCTATGTAAACAAGGGTTAGACTTGTAATCTGAAGGCTGCCAGTTCAAGTTGCAGCCTGACTGCTGGGTGGTTTTGATTTGGCTCATCTCAAGTTCAAATCCTTTAGCCACGCTTGTACTGAACTAGTTTCAATTCTTTTATGTGGAGTTTCATTTGAATTATTTGTTTCATTTTCCCATAAAAGCCCTTTGAGGGAAGAGGATACTTTAGCAATTATATACTTTTTCATTTATTCACTGGTTTGTTAAAAATAACATTAGTTTTGTGCAGATTATTAATCGCTGAATGTTGCATTATTTGTTTTTCCTCAGGGCTCCCAAGCTAAGCTGCATAGTCTTACTCCTGCACAGAAGGCCTACATGAGTAGCTTGAGTCAAGGCTTAGACACCATTGAATCTGCAGAGAAGGATCTGGGGACTCCTGCTCAAATCCCAGCTCTCGGATCTGATCCAGTAAGTCCTTGCTATCCACTCTGGAAGAGATTACTACTGGGTGATAATCTGTAACATTTATGATTGACATTGTTACATATATACATTGTTAAAGCATTTCTGAACAAAAAAATAATAATTGCATTACAAGGTGCATTTTGTTTGATCCATGTTTTCATATAATGCACTCATTGCTTGAGTCAAATTCCCCTTCTTATTATTGATTATTTTCAGAGAGAGGTATGGAATTATTTCTCATAGTTATTAACAGTAATGCATATTATTGTGTTGTGTAATTTGTTTCGAATAAATTAATTTTTACTCTCACTTTTGTTACTTTCAAGTGATAAAAGAAGTGTTCTACAATATTCTTTCATTCTATCAGTTCAGTGTTTCAATTCATCTTAGACTCGATACTAACTGGCTCTTATTACTAGGCTTCACTAAAGTGGAAGCAGAATACACTTGACCTTTCTCGACAAAATGTTGCATCAAGACTTGCTGCTCTCTCAGCCTCATGTGCCTCTATTGTTACTCTCACTTCAGGTATTACATATTGATGTCTTGCACTGTGTCGTTTATCTACTTACTTTTTAATTTTCTGTGTCATTTATGTATGTTAATGTTGGGAGTTGGTTAGGATTTCATAATCTTGCAATCATCAGAAATAATCTGATTGACTCAGCTGATCAACCATCAATAATCAGATCAATTTCTTTATAAGACAGTATAAGAAATCCATTTTTTATTTTTCATCTGTGAGCAAGTAAAAGTACTATAAACTTGTAATTTTCAACTGTAGACCACTGTTATTTTGAAAATCATGTTGGTGTTGTGTTTTGAACTACAATAAAACACAAAAAATGTTTCTATAATAGTCATCAATGCATTAATCAAGTGGACATTTTTTTATAATTGATTCTCACGTACCTTAAGGTTTTTGATCAATCATAGATTAGAATTGATGACCGGCACACCACTAATGTATGTTACAGTTATACAGAGTGAACCATGAATTCTAAGGTTGGTTTGTTGTTTGGTCACTTTTTTAAGGGGAGCCTGAAGAAACAAACTACACTGCTGCTGGTGCTGCTGTGAACACTATGTAAGTACAGCTTTATTATCCAGGCCCATAGAATATCTGCTGCCAGGCAAATCACTACAATGTGGACTGTTAGAATATGACTATGGAAGGAAATTCTGACACCCATTCTTAATGTGACTTCTGCTGATTACACCATTAATTTTAATTTTTGCTGTTTGACTCTCCCTTGTTTTCCAAAACAAAGTGTAATGGTAAAATGTTTCCATCTGCAGAACCTTGGAAAGTTAATTTGTGTGAAATTATTATTATTATTATTATTATTACATAGCTGTCTAATAACTGAAAAAGAGGAAAATGTAACCCTACCGCCATTTTGACTTAACAAGTTCCTGTACGTTTTTTCACTCTACTATCCATTGTACCAGTGCAGTCCCTTTTCAGACTTGTAGTTAGTTTTATAAAGTATGACTGTCCTTTTCTTTCATAATCATAATGATTAAAGTAACCTGATGAAATTATCCCTATAAGCTCCTCAAACCTTCAAGACTTGTCCAAGGGAATCAAAATGATCGCTGGCTTGCTGGATGATGAAGATGATGGTAAAGGCCTTCTTGATGCTGCTCGAGACCTAGCTAGTGCCTTTACAAATCTACTCAAAGCTGCTCAGGAAGGAGGTGGAGTAGACACTGAAGTAAGTGTTTTGTCAACCTGACAGCAAGTATGGGCAAGATGAAGCAACTCTTATGATGTGATTGCCTGGCTAGCTATCCCAGCAAACAAGGCGGAATTTCCTAATTTGCAACATACATGCTTCCCAAATGGCTATTTGTAAATCCCTTAAAATACACTTTGTTTACCCCTCCCCCACAAATTTTGCATGAGCTATTGTTTTCAAATGCTTTTGGGAATATGCAGTCCTACGAAGAGCAGGGGGAGAGGCAAATGGGGTGTACCATGAACGATTCAAAAATAGAGAATCAAAGAAATGCAGCACAATAGATTGTTTACATTCTAAGCTTTTCTGGGAAGACAAAACCATAGTAGGATTAGCTCAGTTGGTAGAGCGCTTGACTGTAGAGCGGGAGGTCGTGGGTTTGATTCCTGGGGCGGGACCATTACTCAGTGTCTTAAAATAACTGAGAAATGAAGGTTCTCCCTTTGCAATGCAAGCATTAATATTATTTCTTTGTGTAGAACCCTAATAATATAAAACCCTGTTGTGCCAAAGATCCTGGTATAATGAATGATCAAGCTTTTCATGTGGAGTTTTTAGTGATAAACTTGTGTGTGTTTTAGTTCAGGGACAAACTCTTGTCAGCAGCAGGAAATGTAGGTTCATCTGGAGCAACGTTGTTACAATATATGGGTGAACCAGAGGTGGATCATCAAACTCAGGTAACCATGCTCTTTTAACCTCTGCACCAATATAATTACAACACTGTCACACTACATGGTTAGCAGATAACTGAATCATCAAACTCATGTAACTATGCTATACTAACCTCTGCACCAATATAATTACAACACTGTCGCAATACATGGATAACAGATAACTGGATCAATCAACTTAGGTAACTATAATGGCAGCTAGACATATATCCATTGGACAGTGATGTTAGGTCATCGCTTACCTGTGTTTTCCATGTTACGTACACCCAATACATTGATGAAACTCAAGAGAATTGTGGTACATATGTTTATCATTGGTTGGGAGCTTAAGCAACAATGACATTGACGGCAAGGAGAATGAAAAATTTATAGTTTTAGATTGGAAAAACAATAACTTTGCAAGTGCCTCATGCCTTGCTTGTACATTTCCTTGCCATCGTGGCACAACTATGACATGAAACTTCCTAATTTCACTTTTTAGGGTGGTTATTTACACAATACAACAATATTCCTTTTTATTTATCTGACTTTACTCACAGTCCTTTAGAATAGAATGAGATGGAATAAGACCAATGAAGTTTGAAACAGCTTAAAATGATTCGCTTTTTAAAGTGAGGTTTTCGGTGTAGCTGCCATCGTGGTTGCTGGTTATGTTACACGGGACAATTTGCAACAACAATTTTTAGTGCAACACAACGTTGCAATGTTGGAACAATGTTGTAACTATTTGAACATTGTTGAGCTAAAAATTGTGGTTGTGAATCCTCTTGAGTAACGTCTCCTTTGAACTCCCTATTGTGTATGGTGTGGGAAAAATTTTAAGTTGGTCCAAAATTCTCAGTATTGTTTGTGTGACCTATAAAACAAACAAATAAAAAATTGATAATTCTTCAAATCGACAACTGTTGAATGTTTGTAAACCCCACAGGAGATGCTCTTAGCTCTTGCACAAGGTGTTGCCAATGCAACAGCAGCGTTAGTGTTGAAGGCAAAGAACATTGCTAGTCAGTCTCCTGATACTAAGGCACAAAGCAAGATGATCACTGCTGCCAAGGAGACAGCCAGAACCACATCCCAGCTTGTAGCCTGCGTCAAGGTAGTGGTTCCATCAATAACTAGTCACATGTGCCAGGAACAAGTTGTGGAAGCTGCAAAACTAGTTGCTACTGCTGTTGATGACACTGAGAGTGCCTGCAAGGTGAGTGAGTTCCCAAGAGTGGCCAAAATATATCTTCTCCTAACATTATCAATAGTTGATCAAAAGAAAAGGTTATGAGAATTGATCAAATGATCACCTAACGGAAAATTCTTTGGTCTTTTATCGAAATCTCTCGTGTATTTCTCTAAGGAAATTTTTGGAGATCAGTCTGTTTTGGTGATTTTTGCAGGCATAGCACAGGAACTATATGGTAGCAGTACTCACCATTGTAAACAAGCTTTCTGGCTGCTATCATTCCAGAAGGCATCAATAACAACCAACACTTTCTTGATACTACTTTATTATTTTAGACTTGCCCACTGAGCAAAGTCTTGGTGAAAACCGAGAACTGCTTTGCCCCCAAAATGTGACTGCATTATCAAACATTTGATCAATCTTAGCCAGGCTTTGTGTATTAAGTCATGTATGTATCTTCTTCCACCATAGGAAGCAGCACCTGCTGACTCAGACCTTCTCCCAGAGATGATGACTGCGGCACAAGCTGTACGAGATGCTCTGCATGCTCTGCTTGTTAAAGTGCGAGATGGTGGTAGGGATGCTCAGCAGGCTGGACAGTATGACGCAGCATGTGATGACATTCTAGGAGCCACTGACAGACTGTTTAACAGCATGGGTAATGCTGGAGAGATGGTCAAGCAGGCCAAGATCTTGGCTCAGGTATAAGATTTGCCTGTATTTACGAACAGGCGCTTATTAAAACTTTTACGCCTCAAATGGGGCACTTATCTGTTGGTGGCATTTAGTTGAAAGTTAGATGTTGACAAAGATTTGTTTATTTTAAGGAATTGATTTTCAGTAACTAACTGTCTTTTGATTTTAGTTGCGTTGGGGGGTGGGGGTGGCACTTATTACAGGTGTAGCGGACAGTGCTAATAACTTTTTTATCTCAAATGCAGCACTTAGGCTTGGGTAATGCTTATTTGAGTAAATACAGTATTCTTAAAGATCATGCCACCATTTCCACTGGACAATGTTTTTATCACACCTTTTTGACCTGTTGTGCCCAATTTGACAAATTTGGTATTTTGAAGGCAGAATTGTGGATTTAAATATTATTTTTGTTGCTGTTCTTTTGAAATTGCACGGGTCCACCATCAAAACATGTCGCATTTTGATTGGTTTTGTTTCATTGTTATGAAACCCATCTGAGTTCTCAAACATCTGCAAAAAACACACCAAACAAGATGTGAAAAACATTGTCGTATGGCAACAGTAATCAAATCTTCACCATAAAGAATATTTAATAATATTTTTCTCATCTTCTTATGTACCCTGTTAGTGTTTCTTAGCTGCTTATAGTGTGTGTTCTTTTCTATGAACACCAGGCATCATCTTCACTGGTAACAGGAATAAAAGCAGAAGCAGAAACACAGGATGATTCAGATTCACAGAAGCGTCTTCTTGCAGCTGCAAAGGTGTTGGCTGATGCTACAGCAAAACTTGTCGAAGCAGCAAAGGTTAGTCAAGGCTGTGCTTTAATAGAAATTGATAGGAGCGCAGTGCTCTGAAATAATTGTGACATTCAGGGTGCCCAGCATGTGCTTTTTATTAAAACAGTAAGGTTTCCTAGCTGTGCAAGAGCAAATGTAAGTCGGGCTACTGCTACAGCACGACCCTCTTAGTTTGTTGTAATGATCCAGAGAAGATACCTCTTGTAAGTTTTTAACTTGCTTTAAACTCAAATAATCACCTATGTATGCAGGTCAGTTTTTTCTAAAACTTAATTATCATGTTACATTACAATCTATTTCTAATCCAGTTTATACCCAGAAGGGGGGCTAAGGGCTGGTTTTCATGCACTATGCAAGCATGAGAGTAAGGAAAATATACGGACTTGAAATCTTAATTAAAGGGCTCTAATGATTGATTCATAAATGACCCTGCGTATGTTCTTGTTCCGATTCTTGGATCTCACATGTAGACTAGCCCTAAGCTGCTGAGCAGAAATTGTTTGAAGAACCAGTTGGGAATACCGCTGAGTAATGGTAATGATGACAGATGACAGACGAGTCACAACCCAGTTAATTTGCAAGTTCTTTCCCTAATGCATCCTCATAGCAATAGTCTATATACTGGTGACTTGTTATTTTGCAGGGAGCTGCTAAAAATCCGAATGCCGCTGACCAACAACAAAAGTTAAAGCAGGCTGCAGAAGATTTAAGATCAGCAACTAATGCAGCAGCTAGTGATGCACTGAAGAAGAAGCTGGTCAAAAGACTTGAGGTTTTGAACCATGCAATTATTCAGTTGGTGACAAAATGAGTTGAGACACTTTGCCCTAAACTGGGTTTTTTACATTTTACTAACTTCAAAGGGGAGAAATATAGCTCCCCCCTCCCCCCCCCCATCCCCTCCATGCAATTTGTGCTCTGTTCGAGCTACCTATAGAAAACAACAAACATTCCAACTTTGAATGGAGGGGACAGGGGAGGGGTGTGGATTCTTTTGTTCCCTGAAGTTACTGTATTTGAGTAGAATGTCTCGACAGTTTTGTTGCCGATTGTTGATTATCCATTTCGTTTTGTTGCTTAATGTTTGTCAAGCAAGTCGAGCTCTGTGACAAAAATGTCCTTATTATATAAATGCCAATAACATACCAGGTGAGCTTTTGCGCAAAAACGTTACGAGAAACTTATCTGAGTCCTCAATGTCAAAGAGGATGTTAAAAACATTGTCAAATGGCAAGAGTAATGTATTCTTCACTGTAAAGAATATTTAAATTTTTATTGAAGACACCGCTTTTGCGCAAAAACATGATATCTTCACACATTCAAATAACATGTTTTTTGCAGACGTGAAAAGATTGCCGTTGCTATGGTTACATTATAAATAGTGCCTTTCGCTGCCAAAAATATTAAAGTGAAATGGTATTTCATTGGTGTGTGTATAATAAGTAAAACATTACATGGCTGCTCAGGGAAAATAATTTTTTCTTGTATTGAAAAATATTTCACTTATTCGCAAATATTTTTCATCACTCCAAACAAATTTTGTATCAACACATGGCCATGTATTTAAATAAGTGTAGACTCGTTATATTAATCGTGGTTCTCTTTCATATTAGGCAGCCGCAAAGGAGGCCGCAGGCCAGGCTACACAGCTGGTTGCCGCAGCTCGCATGGCAGGTCCTTCTAATCGGAATCAAACCTCTCAGCAGCAGTTGAACGATCAGTGCAAAGTAAGTGATTCTGCTTAATTCTGTTACAGTCACGGTAAGGCTGTCACTAGGGACTGGGGTGATTTCTCTTGCAGAAACAAGGTAAAATAAAGTAAATAATGATTTGGAGGTAGTACATCCACAAAGTAGTTCCTCGTCTACCTGATTCCCTGTTGAATTGACATTTGGAAATGTTGGTTTTTGAGGAGAGGGAAAAAACGGAGAACACAGAGGAAAACCTCTCAGAGCAACGAAGAGAACCAACAACAAACTCTACCCACATATGACATTGACGCCGGTATTTGAACCCTAGGCCACATTGGTGGGAGGCGAGCGCTCTCACCACGGTGTCATCTCTTGCAACCCAACAACAGGAAAACAGATCCATCAGATTTCCTAGCTGTTCAGTTCCTGCCCACTCATTGCATTATACCAAACAACTGGAAATCTTAGTATTCTTAGCCGTCTTGACCACATTACCCTTTTAGTCTGGTGATAACTTTTGGCTAGGACAACACAATAATGAGCTTTGCTTACAACAGATAAATTGCCTTTGGAATTTGTTCATTAGGAAGGCTTTGACTGTATTTCTTAATTAACGCGTTCTTCTTTTCAGCCTGTTGAGGAGAACGTAAACCACCTCGTTGAAGCTCTAAGAGAAACTACACGAAATCCTGACATGGCTGCACCTCAGCTTGGGCTGATCAGTGCATCAAAGGAGTTTATTCAGGTAGCTACAAAGTAACTTGGCAGTTACAGTTTGTGTAAAATTCAGGTAGCTACGGAAGAAAATAGAATTTCACCTCTCAGAAGCTAAGAAGTGGGATTTCATGTCAGAAATCCAACCGTCTTAAGTAGTATGACAAATTTTGAGTGCAGTTTTATAAGGACTGTTTGTTATGTGCCTTATTGTTACGGTATTTCACAGACTTGGTGAGACTGCAGACAAATAAGTGAGGGTGTTGTTATTAGTACTTTTTAAAGCATGTCATGATTTTATATGCTTTTCAATACACGTTTCAAAATAAAACCCTACAATACAGAAAGAAAAAGAAGAACGGAAAGAAAAGAAGGAGCCTTCACTTTGAGAGATGTGTATCTCTAGGTCTAGGTGTAATATTTGTCATGCTATTTTTTTTTAGCCAACAACTAAGCTGGTTGCCAATTCCAAAGCAGCTCTTCCAACAATCGGTGATCCAATCACTGCCACACAGCTGGCAAACTTTGCCAAATCAACTGCAACTTCCCTAGGAGAGCTACGTGAAGCAGCAGATAAGGTGATGATGAGATTAATCCTTCATTTTAGTGGCATCGTATTGAAGAAGTGTTCCAATTAAAGTTTTGTTTGATAGATTAGTTACTGCAGATGACAAGGCAAGGACAATGTAAGATAAAGAGGAGTAATCAGCGCAAACGGCACGGGTTTTGGGGGACACCAGAGTTTGTGTCTGTGAACTGTTTAACCTAAGGTGTTGGAAAACTTAAAAAGGCCATGGAAAGTCATGGAATTTGAAGACCTCAAAAGAGTACCACCCTGTCATTCAGTCAATTAGTGAGTTTATTCTGGTCAATCACTGGGGTAGTCAGTAAGTAAGTCAACCAATTATCCAGTCATTCAGGTAATCAGTCCCTTAGTCAGTGGGGCTGCCAGTGCAGGGTTGTCACTAAGATTTCAAGTTGCCGGGTAAATACAACAAGTAAGCGGGGAATCAAATGGCTAGGGATTTCTTTTGGTTCTATTTTTCTTCCATTTTCCTATAAAAGTAGGCGGGGGCCACTCTCTTAGTAGCCGGGAAAATCCCCAGCCCCCGGCTCTTAATGACAACCCTGCAGTGTCATTTAGTCACTTGGTCACTCAGTCAATCAGTTGATCAGCCAGTCAGTCAGGGAACCAGTCAGTTAATAGGTATCTCAGTTAGTCAATCAGTTGGTTAGTCAGTCACACTGCCGGTCAGTCAGTTGGTCAGTCAGTCAGCCAATCAGTTGGTCTGTTAGTCAGCCAATCAGTCAGTCAGTCAATTAATAAGTTGGTCTTTCAAGTGGTGAATTTGTCAGACAGCCAGACATGCTGTCATTTTGGGTAAAAACCCATGTTAATTCATATTCTTTTTTTCTGACAAAGGTACAGGTTAAAATTTTTCCAAGAGCAAAATTTACCATTGAAATGGAGTTAATTCAAGGCAACATGGTAGTCATGCTCTTTTTTCGTTTGTTTTGGAAATTTTGTCAGGCTGCTGAGGTGTGTGGAACACTGGAGATTGACAGTGCTCTGGATACTGTTGGCGCTCTAGGCCGTGATCTTGAGGCATATGAGAAGAGTATAGAGGAAGGCAATTTACTTCCATTGCCTGGAGACACTGTAAGTATCCATAAACAACAATGATTTCTTTTCTTCATTATTATAATACAGGCAGTTCTATTAACCCTTTAAGTCCCAATAGTGACCAACATCAATTTTCTCCTAACATTATCCATACAATGTCAAGAGATAAGTTATAAGCATTAATAAAATGATCACACAAGAGAGAATGCCTTGATCTATTATCAAATTCTCTCTACTTATTCTTAAAGGAAATGTATAGGGATCAGTTTGGAGAATTTGTATGTGGATACTGGGGCTTAAAGGGTTAAGAGACGCTTCGTGGGGATTAGACTGCTTTGCAGTCAGAATTATCAGAACTTCGTCACGTGTGAATTCAAGTACCATTATGAATGCAGGGATTCTGAGATGACTCTGAAATCTACAATCACTAACGGATTCAACTTTCAAATAATAAATTCATTAATGGAATCTTGAGGAGTATACTTGATCTGGCTTTACTGTAATTTGTAATGTATGAGAACCACGAAAATAATTGTCTGCCATTGATCTTTGCCCATTTTGTAGGCGGAGTCGTGTGGTCTTGAGCTCGGTGCTACATCAAAGTCTGTTGGATCATCAATGGCACAGTTGTTAACAGCTGCTTCACAGGTAAGTCAAAAGACTTGGTACTCATTGTACGTTGAGCTTAGTTTTCTTAAACCTAGACAATTTGTTATCAACGATCGCGCTCACCGCGAGGTTGCAGTTCCAAGCTAACTGCGTTGTCATTCTCATTAATTGTGAGGTGTATCAATAATTGGTGATAGCACCAACATCAACAAGGTGCCCAAGCTGAGGTCGTAGAGTTGAGTATTAAAATCAAGAGAGATAGTACATCTTTTTGAAGGGACTACGGCACGCCATTTGGTATCTTTTTAAATGCTAATAGTTTTTTCGTACTACTTGAATTCCCCCAAAAATGGTCTAGTGCGGGGTAGGGGAAAGATAGGCAGGTAGTCTCCCAGAAGTTTTGAGCATTATAAGCAGGGCGCAGATAACCACTTGTAAGTGGTAAAACCAAAATCGAGAGAAATGGGACTGTAAGACAGATTGAAAAGAACTTCCCTAAACTATGAATTCATGCATAATAACATTGTTTTCAAAGATGTTCATGGAAGAAGTTCTAACGTTTCTTTATAAGCTAAACAACATGCCCTTCTCGAAAATGAATGGCTTTTTTAAAAAGGCAGAATTACTCTTATGTTTACACGCAGGGTAATGAAAGCCACACAGGTATAGCAGCGAGAGACACAGCCAGTGCACTGCGAGTACTGACAGCAGCTGCGAGAGGAGTTGCAGCAACATCAGATGACAAAGCATTGCAGATGAATCTGATAAAGGCAACTCAGGCTGTTGTTGCTGAGTCAGCAAAATTAATCCAGGAAGCAAAGAATGCGATGGCTAATCCTGGTGACCCCAACAACCAGCCTAAGCTTGCGCAGGTAAGGATACTTTCCATTATATTTCCTTTCATAATAAACCCACAGGAATACTCTATTTAGAACAGTATTAACGACAAGAGAGGGGATTGGCTACCTGTTAAAACTAAAGATTAATTTAAACAGACAGGCAGATTTACAAATAGTATTGCTATATTAGGCTTTTTTCCTCGTGACTTACCTGTGCCCAGGATCGAACGCAGAATCGTGACCACATCATATGTAACTTTTAGTGCGAGCAGCCCCTTGGGATGGTCAAGTGAGTGAGCAAATCATTTAAAGCGAGGGAAAAAAAGGGTCCAGCCGAGGGCAATTGCACGCGTCAGTTCTACTGCGCACATTCCATAATACGTGACTGAGTTGTTGGTCTTTCCTTTTTTAAATTCATATTTGTCAGAAGTATTGTATTCCAGTAATTTTTTCAATGATGTTTTATGATATCCGTTATATATATGTTCGATCCAAGACGTGTCTCATTCAAAAGAAAAAGGTTCAGTTGGTTATCATTTTCGACGCAAAGACAAGCACCAGTAAATTACTGCTTATTTTACCCTGAAAACGGCCTAGACACAAGTTTAAACCATCTGCACGCACAAACATAAGGGCTTTTTGTGCTTTGCTTGGTTTGTTCTAATGTGCATGGTTAGATCATTTTTCTCATGATTTTTAACTTTGCTTAAACCACTTGATTTTATCCTGCTTTCAGCATCGAGCAAAGGTGAAAAAGCGCAATTAACAGTCTGTGGGCGTATCTGTTTCGTTTTACAGGCAGCTAAAGATGTATCTCAGGCACTGAACAACTGTGTTAACTACCTGCCTGGTCAGAGGGATGTTGATGAAGCCATAAAAGCTGTTGTAACCTCCAGTCAGAGTTTAGCTATTGAAGATGTAAGTTAAAAACAACAACAACAACAACAACATTTTGAACTTCTCCTCTCTTGCACTCAATTATGTTCTAACTTTTGAGTCCATGTATGAAATCTGACAGCGTGACCATGTTAATGACACGTTTTCATTAGTAATTTTGTATAGTAGTAAATCAGCTGTAAGCGAAAATGAAACGTGATGCTTAAATGTCATCATGGCAGCCTGATCTAATTTTTCTTCAAAAAATAGAAAACGTATTGGATAACATTTATCACCATATAGTGCAATAAAGTGGTAGATGCATAGTTGACAAGAAAAGAGTAAGCTTGCACCACATTCACAACAAAATGTCTTTGTAACAGCACCGTACTCATCGGGGAGCAACGGGGGCACATTGGAGAGAACACTTCCCTACTACCAATGTAGCCCGGGTTCAAATCCCAGTGTCAAAGCCATATGTGGGTTGAGTTTGTTGTTGGTTCTCTCCCTTGCTCTGAGAGGTTTTTTCCGCGTACTCTGGTTTTTCCCTCTCCTCAAAAACCAATGCTTCCAAATTCCAGTTTGATCTGGAACGCACGAACACGTTTAAACGAGTTCTTAAGAGCTTTAGCTTCTTATTTACACTTTTTGTTTGGGTCTTGCAGTTTCCCCCTACATCAGAAGGGTACCAGGTGGTTCAAGAGAGGCTAAGCATGACAGGAGCAGCCCTGAATGCTGCAGCCAGTGACATGGTGACAGCTTCACGAGGAACATCCAATCAACTGGCTGTTTCAACAAAGAAGTTTTCACTTTCTTATCAAGATCTCTTGAATAGTGGACTGAAGTTAGCCGGCCAAGCAAAGGTAACAATTTTAAGTTGATTTATCATGGCAGTGTTAAGGTTTGGCGTGATCAATTTAGGTTTCTGGGAAACAGCCCACGTACCCCTCCCCTAAGCCAACATTTTGCTTTAAGTGAGCTGTAGGTGTTAATGTTGGCTTAGGGGAGGGGTAGGAGGGTAGTTTCCCATAAACCTAAATAGATCTGGCCACGCCTTACAGATCAGGGAGATATTAACCTGTACTTTTTTGTTCTATATTGTTAGGATGAGGCAGCAAAAGATTCTCTTGTGCGGAACTTAAAAAACACATCCACAGCATCAAGTAAACTTCTTCTGGCTGCCAAGTCTTTAGTATCCGATCCAAATGCACCAAATGCAAAGAACTCTTTGGCTAATGCTGCACGGTCAGTAGTTTTCTCCAACTTTCAGGAATACCAGGGACGTCATTGTGCTATCATACTTATGTGTTTCTCTTGTGGTCTCTGAAGTGTAAGAAATTCTTCAGGCGTTGGTGGCAACGTTTCTTTGCCAACCATAGCTTATCCCTCAGCACGTTTCACGTTGTATGTAAAGACCTGCAAATACTTCTTCCTAGACCACTGAAAGCTCCAAGTAATCCGTTTAGGAACAGTGAATAACAGCTGGTCTATATTTTTCTTACAGAGCTGTGACAGACAGTATCAATATGCTGCTTAATGCATGTATGTCAGCCGCACCTGGGCAGAAGGAATGTGACAATGCTCTTAGAAATATACAGGTAAGGTTTGCCATGGATGATCCTTTAGCCTTCTGTTGATACTGTACTTTAAAGCAAAATCTTGTTTTTTGAGTGTGATTTAATCACTTTTCCTTTCATCATGTTTTTGCGTTTTCATTGCTGTTTTTTTTAGTTACTGTCACAGACGTAATCCAAACTCCCAGAAATCAAGCATTGTGGGGGCTGGCATGTGTGCTCAGAATCTGTGTTTGAAAAAATCATAAAATGAAACTTTTTCAGCAATACTATTGTATTTTACCATTTGTTGTTCAGTATTTTTCAACACCACATTTTGGAGTTTGAGCTTCATTATACTTCAGTACTCTCGGGACTGAAATGGTTAATCCTTTTTTTTCTTTGTAGGCTGTGAGTAGCATTCTAGACAATCCAGTTGAACCTGTCAACAGCGATACCTTTTTTGACTGCTTGGATAAAGTGACCCACAGATCTCAAGTAAGCATGAATTAGTTACACTGTTACTCAGATGTGCTCAATTCAGTTTTCTTAAAGTTTTTAGGTAGGCTGAGGGCTAGGGGGTGGGGTTTATTAGGGATCAACATCGTCTTTTCAGAAAAGATTAGCTGGTATTTTCTTGGATAGTAGGTGGCACATTTTGCCGGCTTCCAGTTCTTATAGGGAACCCATTTAACTTGTGGATAGGTCTGTACGTTCTTTGGGTTTTGTTTACTTGAGGAGTATAACATTCAACTCTGTGAACACACCCTTCTCGTAGATGGACACAGAAATGGTTCCTGCCTTTCTGTAGGGCTGTTCTTCGACTCTCTATAAAGCAAACCGCTCTCAGACATGGACACTGAATAGCGGTCCCAGTGGTGTTCTTGTAAGAAAAAGTAAAGTGTAATGAAATATTGGACCAATGTCCACAATGAAAGGCTCGCTTAACAAAGAAGGCTAATTTATGTCAATAAACCTAGTGTACTGCTGTTGTCAACCAAACAAGGAGTCGCAACTTCTGACCAAAGATCACAAAACATAGGTTTGTGATTCCCAAGCCTGTAGTTGACATGATATTATATCTCCTTAGGCGAAGTCTTAGTTCCAGACCCTGATTAAACTTGCTTTATTGTAGGATCTAACAGAGGCCATGCCCAAGATTTCTAACAGTATCAAGTCTGGTGATTTTGGCGAGTTTGACAATGGAGTGAAAGATGCTTCTGTAGCAGTCTGTGCGTTAACTGAGTCTGCTGCACAGGTGAGTTGTCACCGATACGAAAACTCTGCTTTTCTATGAACTTCATCCTATTTTTGCTTTTCTTTCTCTGACCACAAAATATTTTCATTTTTGCGCCAATTTCTTCCCTCCGTTTCAGTGTACTTCACCGTAGGGCAAAACGTGTCTTGAGAAAACAAAAGTCCTTCCTGTGTCGGTGATATTGCAAGTTTTAATTGCACTGCAAACACAGGGATAGGAACCCACTAGTGTCTATTTTGGAATGTGGGGAAAACATAAGATTATTATAGTATTTAGGCTAGATGTTTCGGTGTAGGGGCGTGGATAGTTTTATAAAATCCCTTTCTTTCTGAAATGGCCTTTCGTTTTTCAGGCAGCATATCTGGTAGCCGTTGCCGATCCGTCAAGTGTTGCAGGTAGACCAGGTCTTATAGATCAGGCTCAGTTCATAAACTCAAAAGACGAAATCCTGGATGCTTGCCAGAATCTGCTAAACCCAGAAGCTAGTCAGCAACAGGTGAGCTTCACTGCAGCAGCCACATTTAGGCGTGATTCATGAACTGTTGTTCGCGAAGAAATAACTACAACTATTAGAAGGGGTTAAAGATAGGATTGTTGGCAGTATACATGAAAACACGCATGGAGTATCCACAAAAAAGCAGTGTCTAACAAAGTGGGGGCTCCTGATAACAGCAGGTTAAACAACATAGCAATACGCATCATCGAGTTAGAGTGTGTATTTTGCTGCTGTGTTTGCAGTATACATATAAAACGAGTCAAGACAAAATGCCTTTCGGACTTCCAATAACCCCATCTTTTGTTTATTTAAGTAAAGATGTAAAAACGTATTCTCGAGTGCCGTTGAACAAAACCGAAAAGAAGGATGATGGAAGATCAGCCTGTATAAACGTTGATATGGTGCTGTCAATGTTTCGGCGCAGCCCAGATTGAAATACTACATATTGAATTATATCAAACTGACAGTAACCGCACCCCACATCTATGTATGTGAAGTACTCTGAGCTTATTCTCAACCATTTTCCGGGAAGCAAACGATTGACATAATAAAACGTCATGGCCGAACGGCATTGGTACTCCATGACGATAGAAAAACACAATAAATTTATTTTATTATTATGGAGCGTCACCCTCTACACTAAAATGTGGTATTCTTAGTTTCTCAATATCCCCACCCTACATCTTTGCAAGTAAACTACTCCAGACATCGGAGTCCTGACGTTTCTAGCACAGACACAGGACACTTGAGTTAAAAAGAAAACAAGAAACACTAAACTTCACTTTCTACGTGTGAGTACGTGATGTAATAGTGTACTACAGTTAGTTCGTAAGGTTTGCTGAGGTTTATATGTTACAACCTTGTAGCTCCTGTATGAATTGCCCCTTTCATTCTTAGAGTCGAACATGGAGACAAAAGTTAGAAAAAAGTGATTTCTTTTGATACTCTGATGAGAACAATTGATCAAAAGCTCTTTTACAAGATGATTTTCCTATTTTTCTTGGGTTGTTCAATATTGGTGTTAAACGTTTTTGGTTGTGGTTGGATTAACCGTCAACTTGTGCTGATAGAATTGAATCTTCCTTTTGTTGATAGGTCCTAGGAGCAGCTACTGCTGTTGCTAAACACACATCAGCTCTTTGCAACGCGTGTAAAGCAGCATCCGCTAAAACAAGTAACCCTGCAGCAAAGAGACAGTTTGTACAAGCAGCCAAGGATGTTGCTAATAACACTGCTAGTTTGGTAAAAAACATCAAGGTTTGTATTTCATCGATTGGCTGGTCATGTAAGAGACTGATGTCTTTACCTCTGGCCCCAGTTGCCCAAAAGGTGGATAGTGCTATCCACTGGATAAATCTATAACCAGTGGTAGCAGAATTGGTTTCCCTGATACTTATCCGCTGGATACGGATTTAGTCAGTGGATAGCTCTATCCAACGTCAGATCAACCGGGGCCTGACTGCTATTTTAACTTGAATAATTTGAATGCTGTATCCCTTGTCAGTAGCTACTTTTCGATTTGACTGTTTCTAGTCAAGTACGACTCGAGTACAACTTTGAAATTTGTAATGATTGGAACCGGTTTATAACTTCCCAAGCTTTCACTGAAACTTAAACGCCTTAATAGAGGGACAGGGGTGACAAGCGATTATCCTCAGTAAAAGTAACGATCTTAGTCGGAAAAACTTGTGTTAAACGGTTAGCCTGTATTAAGCAGTCAATTAGCCATTTCCTAACGGTGACAGCTATAAAATGCAGGTTTGACTGTCTTTTGATTTCTTATCATTGCAGGTTCTGGCAGGTGACATGACTGAGGCTAATCGTGAGGCATGTGCTGAGGCCACAAAGCCTCTCATAGACAGCGTGGAGAGTCTGACAGCTTATGCGCTGTCACCAGAGTTTGCTCCTCTCCCGGCTAAAATAAGCGAAGAGGTTGGTGCTGGTATCTGTTCAATACCGGTGAAAGCACTGTGAAGCCACCGTAAAGTAATGCGCAATTTGAATAGGCTTAAAATCGTGAAGTTTTTTTTTGTACTTTATGCATTTGGCAAACACATTACAAAAGAACTGTCAAGCATTAAAAAGTCACATTTTGTGGAAAAAGGAGCTGATTTTAATGTACACTTTCGCCCGGTTATTGGACGGATTTGTGCGTGGTAATGTGAGTAATGCTTGAAGAGCGGCCATTACAACTCTATCCCCGAGAAAAGCAGCTGGTAAAGCAGTATCACAATTCGTGGATTTTACATCTTCGTTTTAGATCCCAAATGTCATTTACACAGGGCTCGTACAGAGTCTTGGATTCTTGAAAAAGTCTTAAAATTTGAAAGCCAATTTTCCAGCCTGGTAAAAGTCTGGAAAATGAAGATAAACTCTGGAAAATGGTTAACAGTTTGGAGTGTTTGTTTTCTTTCTCAAAACTGCATTGCAATTTGATACTTTACATTTGCATGTCATCATGGGAAAACGTTGATTCTTTTTTTGTCCTTGTTTCTTTCTACCGCTTTATTGATAACGCCCTGTCTGGAAAAGAAAATAGTGTTTTAGAAAAAGTCCGGTGAAAGTCTTAAGTTTTGGATCTTAAAATCTTTACGAACCCTGTTTACAGTCCTGTAGCAAACAGTTTTTTACTTTATACAGGCTCGTTCAGCTCAAGTCCCTCTGATTATGGCAGGCAAGTCCATGGCTACTTCCAGTACAAACTACTTCAATGTCGCAAAAGCACTTGCTGTCAATTCTAAAGATCAGTCTGGCTGGCAGCAACTTGCTCAACAGGCCAAGGCTGTGTCAGATGCCATGAGAAGGCTTATTACTGCTATTAAGTAAGTGGTCCCGTAGCAAATAAGACAGACTTTTAGATTCTAAGACGAGGAGGACTACGAGTTCGAGATTTTAGAGGGTTTGGAGCTTTAAATGAAACAATTTGAGAAAGAAATTGTTTGTTTTGTTGATCTCTCTTTTGTCATGTGAAATCAGTTTTTAAAAACCATTCTTATGACGAGAGGGACTGCGAGTTAAAATGTTGTGTCTATTTTTGCAGAGACAATGCCCCAGGTCAACGAGAATGCGATGAAGCCCTTCAACAAATAAGCCAGACAATAAATCAGTTGGATCAAGCATCTCTAGCTGCCATCAGTCAACAGCTAGAACCAAGACCTGAAAATTCACTACAGGTGATATTTCTTGAAAGTCTGCCTTGACATTGAGGTTGATTTGGCTTTACTGCTGATTTGTGGAATTAGCGAAAAAGCATGTAATTGTTTGTGTGCAAAACCAAGCAAAACGCCCATCAGATTACTAGCCTACAGAATAGCTGCAATTTTTTTTGCGCGTTTTTCAGGCGTAGCAAAACACAAAGCGGGCATCCCTTCCCCCGTCGCGCGTGTCTCCCGCGTGTCTCGGGCTCCCCGCTCGCAGCATGAAATGCTTCCCTTCGCTGGCCTAAAAAACGTGAAAAAATGACGCCAGTTTTGCAGTCTATCAGATTACAGATTACTGATTTAAATCCCTTCGTTCGTTGGTTAAAAAAAAGAAAACAAATCGCTTTGCTCAGGCAAAAAGGGAGCTGCTTACCCTTCAGAATGGCGTTTAACATGTGTGATGCCCAACAGGAATACACGTTCGTTTTTGACGGAAAAGTGCGACGAAGCTTTGGGAGGGAAAGTGTAACTTTGTGGATGTGTTTTGTCATCAGGGATTCCAAGAGCAAATGATGCAGAATCTGAGTCAAATGACAGATGTTATCGATCCGTTAGCTACAGCAGCTAAATCTGAACCAGAGAACATTGGTCACAGGGTATGTAAATTAACCGAAAGTTATTTTACAGAATAAATGTGCAATGTTATGCGATTTATAGGTATGAGAATGATGTTTTTTTTTTTACGAGCCTGGCAAAACAAAGAAACACAATTGAGTCGAACCTATAAATGAAAATCTAAAATGGGTTAGTCATCAGCCTACTCTGTAGGCGTGTCTCGAAAACAAAGAACCTAGGACCTCGAAAACGGTAAGAGCTGTAGACAACGGATTATAAAAACTCAGACCTCAATATACTTTTGTTGTTGTAATGAGATGCTGTTTCGACGCCCTTTTGTCAAGGTCTTAGGTCTAAGCTTTCAATACCTTACTCTGCACCGCGCAATTCCTCGAACATTCTTTTCTAGTTGTTTTACTGGAACTACATTTGTAACTCTTTTTGGCGTATTCCTTTAAACTAATCATGTGATCAAGCGACCGCGGAAGGATTAGCTCAGTCGGCAGAGCGCTTGACTGTAGAGCGAGATGTTGAGGGTTCGATTCCCGGGGCCGGACCGATACTTAGGGTCTTAAAGTAACGAACGCTAGACCTTTGCGAGGCTCGGATACCACGTAAAATGGCAGTCCCCTCTTCATTAGGAAACGTGAAAACAGTGTCCCCAGTTAAGGTTGATTTCCACTGACGCGTTTTTGGCTACGCACGTTAACGCACATGAATTTTAACCATAGGTAAATAAAATAGAGATAAAAGTGCTGAGCTTAAACGAGAAGTTAAGCGAGGTTCGACTTTTATGCTTACGAGTAACCTTTCATGCATTGCCTCTATTTATTTCCGAAAGTAAATTTTACGCACGTACGCACGTAAAAATTACGCGACACTGGAAATCAACCCTTATTAAGTACATTGACACTCAAAGTTCGTTTCTTTTCTATCGTTCGATATATTACAGGTTGCACAGGTGTCGAGTTTCTTAGCTCCGTTAGCTGATCTAGCAGTGGGTGCCGCATCACGCATGGCAGATGTTCAGCGTAAGGTTGACTTGTTAGATCAGGCCAAGACTGTCGCTGAGTCAGCCGCTCAGCTCATGTACGCTACTAAAGAAGGTGGTGGAAACCCCAAGGTGAATTGAAAATCTTCATTATGTTTGCAAATTGCTCCTAAATTGCTAATTCGGCAACAGATAATTCATACCTGTAGATAGCAATGTGACACACCTAGCACCCGAACAGCCAGTAGTGGTCCTCCCCTCTTAAACCTTGACGTCCACGCCCTACCTAAGCATTTCATTAAAGAGGCTATGTCACGCTATTTGATCTCTTTTTAAAAATAAACAAGAACTTTTTTCTCCTCAATTGATCCAGTTTTGTTATTCATGAAGGTATTTAGGCACTAAAACTCTTTCCTGTAGTCTATTAGAATAGTCATCTATTGAAACTTGAAAAGGGTTTGGCCAACGTTTTCACAATTAATGCTGTGTGGTCGAGACAGCAGCAAAAATGTAGAAATTTTCAAAAATAATGCGACTTTTTTAGATTTTAACAAAGGTGTTTCGACGGTACATCCGTCATCCTCAGTGTGACGGTTATGAAAGTTTACAGCGATAAAACGTGCCTGTTACAATTTATTCGTCACTTTGCTTTGGAAAACAATACGCTATGTAAATGTTAAAGTTAACGGAGTTAATGCGTGCACGCATCTATAGAGAATGCTATGTCTGCCAAAAGTCGCCAAAAAAATTATTGTGGTTATTGCTCCCTGGTAAAATTTCCTTGGTATCTTCTTCATGACTTTACAGGAACATTTTGTTTATGGTTAAGGGCATCAAGTAATGATTTAAGCACAGAGTTGACCTAAAACAGCAATATACCCTTGACATAGCCCCTTTGAGAATAGCCCCTCTAGAGCTGAGTAACTTTTATTTGAGTGTAAAAGAATGAATGAGTGAGTTTAAAAATAAACAATGGTGCTGCGTCGGTTGGTGGGGTAAAACACAAGAATTTGGTTTCATAAGCTAAGTTGACAAAAAAGTAAATTTACCAATGATTCATAAGCTGACTTTTCGAGTGCCATCCCTTCGTCAGGCGAATACGCTTCACTTTGAATAGGATTGTGTGAGCACACCATAGTTAATAGTTTCTGAGCGACTGTTGCCAAACAGCACTATTAATCGTGCAGTGTTGGTCTGCTTCTTTTGTACAAATTCTTAACGAAAGCGAATCTGGTATTCTCTTCATAAGTGCCAAATAAGATGTACGGAGAACATTGTAGGGAATGTGCGCTTTGATATAAGGCTTCATGGTTAAATGAAATAGTTTGAGTTAATATTAATCACCTGTAATGATGTTACAGAGTGTTCACAGTCATCCGGATATCGATGAGGCCGCCCAGGGAATGAAAGAAGCTGTGAAAGATCTTGGACAGACGTTGGAAGAGGCAGCCAGCGAATCCGGCGTGGTATCCGGTTTGATTGACAGTATTGGAAAAGCAGTGGCTGAGGTGGGTTAACTTATGTATCACGAGATGAAGTTGACCGGACTGCTAGCAGTCCCTCGGGATTATCGCGTGTGCGAGCATGTTACGAGCGAGCGAGGTATGCGCGCGAGTCCCTTTTTGACTGGTTTACTCTTTCCAGTCCCACCAAGTTTCAACTGACAGACTGAAAAGGGACTCCTCGTAGTCAAGTGATAACCCGATAGTTATTTATGGCTTGCGATTCAGATCTAGACAAATCTGTCTAAGTTATATTTTCATTTCCAGGATTATGACTTCACTTTACTAGCATTATTAATTGAAAGCGCATGGATGACTAAAGAAAGAAACCGTTAAACGGAACAGTTTAGACAGTCAAATAAAACCTAACCTTCCCTGTTAACACTGTCAGTTTTCTCCTTTTGGCTTGTTTTGTCAGTGTTGGGAAGTGATGAACAATATCCTCTCTCCCCAATTAACGGTTCTTTTTCTCGCGTTATGTCATTTAATCATGTTGGACTACCTCGAAATGACATTAACCCTTTTATCCCCAATATCCACATACAAATTCTCCAAACTGATCTTTATACATTTCCTTAAAGAATTAGTTGAGAGAATTTGACAAAAGATCAAAGCATTTTCCCTTTGGTGATCATTTTATTGATTCTGATAACCTTTACTCTTGATGATCTGCTGATGTTGTTAGGAGAAAATTGATGTTGGTCACTGTTGGGACTAAGTGGGTTAAAACTTGCTTTCTCTTTATCATAGAATAGGCATGTGTCTGACCAGAATCTTTCTGTGGGATTTGTAAAAGGTCTTGCTTTGTTTGTAGATCAGTCAGCCGCTGAGTGATGACCGTGCGGAGAGTGCTGATGTTATTGATGAACCGTTTGTGAATTACCAAGAGAGAATGACTCGGGCCATGAAGGAACTGACCAGGAAGGGACACGATATGGTGAGATTTCTCAGATCAAAATGAGAAATAATCTTATCGTTTTAGTCTTCAGTCTGTATTGCTGTCTACTTTTCATTATCTCACGAGAGATGTTGTTTAATTTGTTTTCTTGTTATATTTGGTCCAACTGTGCATATTTCCAGCTTTAGAGCCTTCCACAGTTCAGTGGCAGAGAATTGTAAACTGGCAAATCATTGACCGACGTGACACTTATTTTGCTATCAGATATCGCACAGTTTACACGAAAAAGATTTAGCCGAAGTTTTCCCTCAGTTGTCCTTTTAAGAAAGTTGGCTCGTTATCATTTCGCGACAACGACGTCGAAGCGTCGTCATTTCTTCATTTTGCTCAAAAAACTACATTGAAAGTCGCTGGGCTGTAACCAGAAATACTTTATGACTGAAGAAACCAATATGAAAAACCAGTAGGTTTAGCAGGTTATGCCTTTAGGCTCGCTGAATAAATAATCCCTAGTGGGCTTTAAGAACTGTCAAGCACAATCTACAGCGGATGATGTGGGGGAGCCATGACAAAAGGCTTGTGTGCCAACATCATGTTTACTGGATTTGTGTTTTAGGTCGGTAAATCAACAACTGATCCAACCAAACTTGGTCCGCTGGGAAAAGACATCAGTAAAGTTTACAATGATATTGCAAAGGACACTAAAGGTGCTGTCAAGACAGTTGGCAACCCAGAGGTATGCGCTGTATAGTAGCACTTATTACAAACCCACAGGACTTTGGCGGGAATCCTCGTGAATAACAAACTTAACGACAATTCTGTCTATTACTGGGCCGTAGCCGTAATGCTTAAATGTGCATGGCGGCGTTACAAACAGACGGGCTTGTGCTAAGGTACCGCCTTGAGACCTGTAGATGGACAAGGTGAACATAAATACCTATACCCGATATCGTGGGTGGTAGAAGTTTTTTTTTCCATGATTTGCGTGGAGTTCCTAATAATAAGCTACTCGTGGCTTTTCCATCCTTTTTGAAATGACTGGTGAATAACGTGGCGAGGAATTATGTTGTTTCAGATTGCGCATCGTATTCGCACTGGTGTACAAGGTTTGGGCGAGGCGTGCATCAGCTTGATTCAGAGTGGAGGAGCTGTGCAGAGCAGTCCCAAGGATCCTTTCTCTAAACGAGAACTCGCTGAAAACTGCCGACATATGGCAGAAAAGGTAACTTGTCATAGTTGTTAATGACAAAAAAAGGGTTCAGCAAAGAGTTTTACGGAGCAAACTTCTTTCTTAATTGTGTGAACGAGCTTATCGGTTACGTGATCGCTCATCACGTGACTATTGTGAAGCTCCTTATACAACATGTATGTCAAGGCTGTGTATCACATGACTGAGATAACTATGAGCTTACAACGTCGAATTATTTTGCTGGGCAAAACTCTTTACTTTGAAAGGAGAAGCGTGCATTGTTGCGTTCCTTGTTGTGGAGTTTTATTTAAGACAAACCTCCGCGAAAGTGAATGATCATGTTGACGGTTTTCGTCATATTGTGCTCGGAAATATATAAGTATCATTTGGTTTGTTTGTTTCGATTGACTGAAAGGCAAAAAGTGCAAGAGAGTCAGTTTCTCGTTGTAACACAGAACCCAAGAAACTTGATGGCGACACTTAATCAAAACTCGCTCACTACAAGAGGTCACAAGAATGTCACTGTTTTTGTACAACGCGAAATAGAAATGTCAGCACGAATTTTAAGAGGCATATTCAGTGCTGGTCACTTTGGTCAACAACTTCAATGCAACGTCAGGTGACTTTTGAAGACGAGGGACCATGGATACATCAAGTTAATGGCTATTTTATTTCATATTTTATCATTTTGCTTGTCAGGTTTCTCATCTCCTCGCGGCTCTCCAACAAGGCTCACGTGGAACTCAGGCCTGCATCAATGCAGCGAGCGCGGTACAAGGAATAGTAGGGGACCTGGACACTACTGTGATGTTTGCGGCAACTGGTACGCTGCATCCAGAGACAGAAGGCGACACATTTGGTGATCACAGGTTTGGTTCAGTTCCCACTACCCTTATTTGGGGCCTTGACACGGAGCTTTAGCATCTACGGCGGCGACGGTAGCGAAAACGTCACGCAAAAAGTGAATTTGCGCTGCTTCAAACTACTTCGCTCTTATTCCATCTCGTTCAATTTGTCAAATTTTGGCGAATTTTTCTGGAGTAGAATTCTAAAAGTTTGTATCTAAATTCCGAAAAAGAAAACGTAAGTCGTTTTCGCGTGTTCACGTCCTAACAAAACGTGAAATTAGAAAGTTTCACGTGGTAGTCGTGCGACAATGGCAAAGAAACGTACAGAAAAGCGTGATTCACGTGCAGAGTTGTTTTGCCTATCTAAACCTATGGCTTTTTTGCCGTCGTCGTAGTTGCAGCTGAAACTCCCTATCCGACGACGACCACTACCACAACGGGGATATAGAAACGATAAGATTAATACCCAAAACATTATTTCTGCGTGTACAGTTTTTGTGTACTTTTCTTTGCCCTCACTGCACGACCTCGAGGTGAAAATGCCTAATTTCACGAATTATGGAGGACGTAAACAAGCGGCGACGAAATATATTCAGTAAGCGAGCCGAAATAATCGTGATGAAGATTGAAAGATTTTTAGCGACGGTTTCGCGGCCTTCACCGTCTTCGGATCTTAAGGGCCCTGGAAATGCATTTTTGAACGTTGGTCATGGTCGTCAGTGATGGGTCTTGATTCAACATAGAATTATTTGAGTATTTTTTTTTATGTTACAGTGTCACCAAGTTACAAATGCTGACCCAAACTGACCTCCTGTCTCAATTTCGTTGTTAGTAAAGCACTATGAAGCACATCTGGTGAAAAACCACTACCTTCGTTTATTCATGGTTATGGTTAATGTAACTGCTTAATATTTCCGTGAGCATAGCTAAGAGTTTCTTGTAAAAACAGTTACGTATAGACGGTTCATCGTATACTGTAGTTTTCCATAAAATAGCGTAAAAGAGGTTCATTGCGTAAACCTGGTTATGTGGTCGTTTTCTTTATGCTTAGTCCCCGCGGGGGGATGCTGCTAGGTAGCTTGCACTTGGGGCACGAGACTCCGTTAAGGGTACCGGATACGTTCAGGTGCAGGAACGTCTGACGAAGCCCTTGGCCTGCTACACCGCTTATTTTTTTACGTGCCACGCGAGGTTCTCCCCACGTGCGTCCTCGAATTTTTTTCATTCGTTCTAACTAAACCGGAGTCTGCTACGCCGGCTACTCGCCTGCGTGGGAGGCTACCAGTGATGTTGCCCGACTTTGCTTTCGAAAACTGTTTCGGACGCTCGCATTCAAAAAAATAATTTTAAAACATCGACATTGCCTAAGACAGCCTGTTCAAAAAGCTTTAATTTGATATATTTGAGTAGGCTTTGAGGTATTGCGGGCAGTTTAACCGGAACGGGCTACAACACTTGCACGTGAGACACCCTTGAAATTCGGTAACCTTAAGACTGCATTCCATCCCACTGACTAAAGCAAAAACTAACAAAACCGCTACAAACAATACTTTACTTATCTGGCATTATTTTTAATCCCTGTAGAGAGGCTATCCTTCGAACAGCTAAGACTCTAGTAGAAGACACCAAGAACCTTGTCTCAGCAGCACAGGCATCCCAAGATGTGCTGGCTTCGGCTGCCCAGTCTGCAGTTGGTTCAGTTTCTAATTTAGCTGACAATGTCAAGTTAGGAGCCATTGCTCTTGGATCCGATGATAGTGATGCTCAGGTATAAATCTCATTGTCAGTGTCAAAATACTCTAGTACATAGATTTGTTTATGTAACAATTTGGCCAGAGTTGTTCAAAAGGTGGATAGGGGTTGGTTTCCATTGTCGCGTAATTTTTCCGTGCGACCACACGTAACATGTACGTGTGTCAGTGAAGTAGAGGCAATGTATGGAAGGCTACGCGTAAACGTAAAAGTTGAGCGAGGTTCATCTTTTACGTTCACGCGTGACCTACCATACTTTGCCTTTATTTTTTTACGCGTGTAAAATTTACGTGCGTTCGCACGTAAAAATTTCGCGATAGTGAAAATCCACCTTAACGCTATTCACTTGATAAATCTCTATCCAGTGGATAGTGCAACTGGTTTACCCAACACTTATGCTGGTTAGCGATTTATCCGGTGGATAGCGCTATCCAGCGTTTGAAGAAGCGGGCCTGTAGTGGGATTCCTTTCTGAGTTGAAAACAGTAGTAGTATTGTTAGTGTTACGGACAGATGCAATCACCAGTTGACGTGTAACAAACGTTTGAAAACACAACAATGCCCACACTACAAAACAAAAGCGAACCAGTAATAGTTTTCGCAACTCCAAGAAATTTCCGAAAACACTGTTGAATGCTTATAATTTGTGTATTTTCTATAACTGGCCCCCCACAATTCCTTTACTAATTTGTTTGTTTCTTTTTTCTTTTCTTTTTCTTTTTTTTTTTTTTTTTCAACAGCAAATGTTATTGAACGCTGCTAAAGACGTAGCATCTGCCTTAGGTGCGCTGATTAACGCCACCAAGAATGCTTCTGGTAAGCCCAACAGTGACCCAGCCACAGAGGTACTCAAGACAACTGGAAAGGTGAACGATAATTTATCTTGATATCGATAGTTACGATGCGTTTTGTGATCTGTTAGTCATGTCGTGTTGTCGTGCCCTGTTATGATATGTCATGTCATGTTTCTGTATGCCATGGGTTGATTGTGGCCGGTTTATTTTTCAGACAATGGTCGCAAGCGTGTCTTCCCTTCTCAAAACTGTGAAAAGCGTGGAGGATAAAGCCCTACGTGGCACCAGAGCGTTAGAGTCTACTATAGATGCCGTCAAACAGGCTGTACTTGTAAGTTGGATAGTTTGAACAATGTATAATTTTTGCTTGTTTCAGTTTTGTAAGGTTAGTGGCGGTAGAATGGGTGTTTTGCAATAGTTGGTCACGCGATCAACCACCTGTAAACACGACAACAATTCGCTTTGAAAAAATGATATAAGCAGGATATGAAAGAACTGTAAATTTTCAGCTGTATACCTAAAAATGAGCGATAGCTACGGCCGCCAAAAATGAGAAGAATTTTTTTGGGTAAAATAACTCTTGTCACCCAATCGCAGTTGAGTAGTTTTCCAAACAAAGCCTTGTAAATTTTAAAATATTGAAACAGTCGTAAAATCTTTTCCTTGCGCAGTTCAGGGCTCATGTCTGATATGAACAAAAGAAAATTTGAACCCCGTAATACGTAGGGGAAATATTTTACGACAGTTTGAAAATTTCAAAATTTACAAGGATTTGTATGGAAAACCACTTAGCTGTGACTGAGTGGCAAAAGTTTTTTTTCCCATGCAAATCCGTCTAATTTTTGGCTGCCGTTGCAATCGCTACAGAACAGAATCAACCGTTTCACGTTCCAAAACTGGTTTAAGAAATGAAGTAAAACCTTTTCTCCTGGCTCCGTTTTTAGGTAGTTCAAAATCCCTCCATGCCTGTTCGTGACGCCACACCTGAAGAACTTATAAGAAGCACCAAAGATGTAACCTTGGCAACGGCTAAAGCAGTAGCTGCTGGGAATTCTTGTCAACAAGACGATATCATCACAGCTGCAAACATGGGCCGCAAAGCAGTCACTGAGATGCTGATCATCTGCAAGGTAAGTTAAAACTACAATGCAATTAAGTCTTTCTGGATTGTAACGTGGCTTAAAACTACAATCATGGACAGAAGTCTTGGGACACTTACATTTCTGGAGCGTTTTCCAGTTCACACAGGTCCAACCCCTCCCCTCACCCCACAAACAGTGTTGGACGCGTGTATCCAGAATTTTTTCCGAGTTTCAACTTTGCATAGGGTGGGGGAAGGTAGAACTGTAAGAAATTTCGAAAAGGGTGCACTGTTTTAAGAGGGAACCGAGAATTGACCGAAAAATATGAATATTTCAGTACTGTCCCAAGGACTTTTGTCCAGGATTGTAGCGTTCACAAGTAACCATGAGTTGCATTTGACTACCTTGTTGTATGCGTATGGTGTTACCCGACATAAATATCGTGTTGCAATAAATGCGGTATTGTTGCGTAACGTGAAGGTTACGAGATTGACCAATATCATTTTGATTGTTTGTTTATTAGGCTGCCGCCCACAAGGCAGACAATAATGAAGCTAGGACCCAGGCCCTTAGGAGTGGAATGGAGTGTGGCGCTGCGTTTGGAGAAATGTTGGATCTTGTTCATAATGTAAGGCTTGTAGATCCTTGGCTACAAAAAGACGGTATTAGGAAAAAAAGGTGTTAAAGGGTATATTAGAAACCATCACCTTGACTCCTTGTGCCTCCTAAAAAATGTTGTAATATATTGAAGGTTTATGTTTTACTTGACGAGTTGATCTTGATTTGTTGGGTTCATCAACAGATTGTACAGAAACCGACCCAGGAGAAGAAACTAAAGCTAACACCGCAATCCAAGCTTGTGGCTGACCATGTTGCTAAACTCGTGCATTCTGCTGAGGCCTTAAAAGGTACAAAACCATTATAGTAGCCTTTGATAATGAGATGTCAGAGGAAAACTGAAATAATCTTTCACACTTAAAATGTCGTTTTAATGTCAGAAGATACATAATTCATGCAGTAATAAGTTTGTTAGAGTAAAAACGAGGTTTGGGCCCTTCTCAGTGTTAAGCTGAAACTTTGAATGACGTTGGCCGTGATTCTCGTCTGTACCTGAGCAAACCCCCCGCAACCCACACCCCACCCTCCACCCCTCGCTAGACTGCGCAATCTTTTCGTCTTGTGACAACAGTCTTAACTATAACACACGATCCTCAGTTGAGAATGTATTGGAAGTACCCAAATTCCGCTCAATCTCTGGCCTTCAAACTTTTCATGTAAGTGGAACTCATCTTTGGAACAGTTCATGTGACAATGCTCTATTATAATTGCACATAAGAGAAATTTTAGTAAACTCTTAGCGAACACCATATTAGACAGTATGTCAAAGCCTATACCACTGGATATTTTAAGTATTTCAGTCATTTTTTATGGGGTTTTCTTTTGGGCCATGGTGTAAACTACTGTTTTAACACTAATTTGTATTCACCCGATGAAGGTTCATTAGTTTATCTCTCCTCTACCGCTCTTGTACTTCTTCATTGTTATTACTTTCCCCAAGTTATCCTTGCCTCCTTAAATGCTCATCACAGTATGATGTACTTGCTTTCAGGTGCCGACTGGGTCAATCCTGAAGATCCTAATGTTATTGCTGAGAATGAACTTCTTGGTGCAGCTGCTGCCATTGAGGCAGCTGCCAGAAAACTGGCCGAGCTAAAACCAAAACCCAGACCCAAGGTACAACAGTCTCTCCTTATTTCTTTTGCAATGTTAAGGACCCTTCCTCTTTCTTTGAATGCTCACAATATTGGTTTGGTTAGGTATGTCACTGTTTAAAAGTTCTAATAGTCTATTTATCTAAGCAAGTGTGCCGTTCCCAGAATTTAAATTCTTTAAAGAGGATTTTTTTGGTATGCATTACTAAATGAATTCAATTAAATTTATCACTGATTGGAATACGCAGCAAATTTAGTTGACTTGTCATTACTGAAGCCCTTTAACTAACTGTGTTGTCGAATTGAAACCAAAGAAAGCCTAATGCCTATATAGTAAGCCTAATATCTTTATATTTCCTCACAATGATTAGTTAAACTTGCTTATTTTGTTTTCATTTCATCTTGTTAAGGAGGCAGACGAGTCGCTCAACTTCGAAGAGCAGATTTTAGAAGCCGCCAAAGCTATCACGGCCGCAACTGTGGCACTAGTCAAGTCTGCATCAGTCGCACAAAAGGAATTAGTGGCAACTGGAAGAGTAAGTTACTTTTATACCCAAAATCCTCTATAAAGCCCTCTCCAGTGAGCAATTAGCCTGCGAAGGCAGACGTATTTCCGGTCATCGCTTCGTCGAGTGAAGCGACGACCGGAAATACGTCTGCGTTCGCAGGCTAGGGACCTATTTATTTTAAGCACGTTTGGGGGGGGGGATTATTTAAGAGATGGGGCTCATTTGGTTTAGCGAAGGTGATGGTATCAGTTTTCCATAAAAAAAAAAAAAAAAAAAAAAACGAAAACTTAAATTGGAAAAGCTCAAGTACATGAAGTTGAAGCTCATCTAGTCGAAGATCAAAAACAAATCCGGACTTCCAGCGCGTCAATAAACCATACCGGATCAGTCCACGTGAAGTGTTACATTTGCGGTTAAGTAATACAGGCTATCCTTGATTTATTTCGTCGTGAAGAGTGATATGTGGGAAGGGGGCGGGACTTAATAGAGAATTTACGGTACTTAAAATTTCCTTGCGGCTACCTGGTAGTTGATGATTTCTTTTGATAATGCTATATTAACATTTATCATGATAAATAGTATAAATTATGCCTTGCCAATGTGGTAACTTAGTCGATAGTTAATTAAAATCCCCGAACTTTTGATCACTGTATTTTAGGTGTGTTCTGCGTCCACTGACCCCAATGAAGATGGCCAGTGGTCTCAAGGACTGGTCTCTGCGGTAAGTGACATCTACCGTCTGTCTTTTGTTTGGTTTTACACACGACGAGGACGAATTTGAACTTGTTCAAGTACAGTCCTCAATCATTCACCGCCCGGAAAATTCGCCTACATTTTACAAATCAAGCGAGACTAAATAAAGGCGTTAGAGTTACATTAAGCTCTCTAATATCTCACAGCAATAAAGGATGAATTGAGAAAGGTCTTTAAACGTAAGTCGATACAAATAATGCTCATTTTTTAAACATACTGTACTGAGGAACACTCACCTAAATGCTGTGTCGTAAATTTGCATATCACATTAAATAGTGCTTTGTACGGTATTAACACACTCGTTGTTTTTGTATTAGAAATCTCACTCGTTTGCTGCGCTCTCAAGAGGCTAGAGGTGCTCTCGGCTATGCCTCCAGCAACTCTTACGCCTCTTTCTTGCTCTCCAAACTTTCCGCGTGCTCAATATCTCGACATTGCACGCTGGTGCATTAAGTGGTTGTTAGATGTATTTGTTGTCATATGATTTTGTAAAACACCAAAGTTTGCAGTTAGGGTAGATAAGTCAAGTTGTTTCCAGTATTAACCGAAACATGGTCACGTGTGTTGTGTTGCAGGCGCGGATGGTAGCAGCAGCCACCACGACATTGTGTGACGCTGCAAATGCTGCTGTTCAAGGCAACGCAAGTGAAGAGAGGTTGATTGCTGGTGCTAAACAAGTTTCTAATTCTACCGCGCAACTGCTGCTGGCTTGTAGAGTGAAGGCCGATTCCAACAGTGAGGCACAGAGGAGACTTCAGGTATGCACTGTAACGTGGCTTCGGTTAATTGCTCCAAGACTCTTTAAAGTGATAGACAAGAGCGTTCGAAGTACCGTAAAATTCCGAAAATAAGTCCCTCCATGTATAAGCCCCTCCAAATATAAGCTCCCCCGGGGGCTTGTACTTCGAAATTGCCTTCAAATACAAAGTAAAACAAAGCAAAAACGGTAAATTTACTTCCAACTATAAGGCTAGCCCAATCGATTTTGAAACGCAAACTTCCCTCCGTAGATAAGCCCTTCCGAATATAAGCCCCTCCAAAAATAAGCCCCTCAAAAAGGGCCTTTGAAAAATGTAAGCCCCGGGGCTTATTTTCGGAATTTTACGGTATTTCGCGTGGGCCCTTTTTTACTACTCTTAAGGACGGTGTCTAGCGCATTTGCTTTTTTTAGCTTTCACGTGTTTGATGCTAAGGGCGCTTTCAATTTGTGAGAACTGGCCGGCCGGACCAGTCAGTTAGCAAATGAAATCGGCTTTTTCCAAGGGTTTTTGCTGAAAAACCATCTCCTTCGTGCATACTATTTAGAATTTGACTGATCTGGCTGGATAGTTCTGATTAAAAGTGAAATTCTCGTTATGACGGGAATGGTCTGGCCGGTCAGTTCTGACAAATACAAAAAGCGTCCTAAGTTTTCATTGGCCTCATTTGGCCAATGGACTACAAAAGACGTAAAAAGGTGTCTCATGAACTTGCGGAGGGTTGAGAGTTTAGAGATTGTTTGAATAGGCGATATACATGACAACTCTGTCAGAACTCACCACTCACATTACACACGCAATCAACGGAACTGTAGAAATTTTGAGAACATATATAAATCTAACGAGCTGCGAAATCTAGTCAAATTAATTCGCGACCATGGAATCGAGTAGAGCTTCGCATATTTCAGGTTTAGCTTTAGCCGGTACAATTTCAGAGAAGCTAGTAACCATCTGTTGCCTAGAACGGTTGGTTTTGATGACTATCTTATTTGTCTGCAGACCGCTGGCAACGCTGTGAAAAGAGCGGCAGATAATTTGGTTACCGCAGCGAAAAACGCCGCCATTTTTGAAGAACAAGAGACCACAGTCATCATTAATCAGCGTTTTGTTGGGGCAATGGCACAAGAGCTGGAGGCTCAAGAAAAAATCCTGCGTATCGAGAAAGAGCTGGCGGCCGCAAGGAGTAAACTGAGTCAAATAAGACAGGCCAAATACAGGGCTGAAGACGACGATTGATGCAAACATGTCTGAAGTAGAATGTAGTCGGTGACTACGTCGAAGCAGTTATTGAAGTTCCAGGAAAGTGTGCAGTCGCTAGCCGGCAGCTTGAATTTAGGCAATAATTGTTACCAAAGAGGATGTCAACAAATAGCTAAAATTTATAAAGAATAAGGAGCAACTAAGAAGGCCCAAATCAGCCTTTCTCGAGTTGTTTGGTTTCTGTGTATAGTTAGGGTCTCTGTTTCCTTTCATGTTTTCTATAAAAAGGCAAACAATATTGGTTGGTTTTGTTAAGTTCAATGCCAAGGTCTCGTATTATTACAATGCCGTTGACAAGAAGTTGAAAAAACGATGAATTTATCAGCATAATTAGCTGAGTGCCAGCCCGTGGTTTGAGCCCTAAATTTAGTTACTTAGTAATATTTCATTTTTCAATTAGCAAAAATTGAGTGTTCATTCTTCAAACGACTGTTAAGTTTGGGTCGCTAATTGCGGAGAAACATACTAAAAAGACCACAACCCATCTAAATTTTTACTAGGAAAGACATTAGATAATGAACTACACGCGAACACTGTGGATAATAGTACTTAGTAAACAAAGTATTTTATACAAAACAATGCTACTTAAATGAAAATCCGAACATTACCAACATATTGGACGGGCATGTACGCTTACAGAGAGTTTTAAGTGATGCATTGCTGAAGAGAATAAAAACAATTTTTAGTAAAAGAATTAAAGTTGTTTCTGAAGTAAACTGTGGTTGGTTTTGTCGTTCGTTTTAAATTAATTAGTTTTAGGGCCTGTTTACATGAAGGTGGGGGACCCCAGATAGGTGAGGTAACATGTGGCGGGTCACCCCACCTATCGTGTAACCGTGATCAAATTAAAATGACAGATAAAAAAGACAGGTGGGTTACCCCAACTAAGTGGGTTACCTCACCTACCTGGGGTCGCCCAACTCAGTGTAACCAAGCCCCTAGTTTCCATTGGCAGTGGCGACTTGTGATGGTCAATTTAAAATGCAGTGACGAAATTTCATTCATCTCACAACGAGTCACCATAAATCTCTTTGGAATAAGGACGAAGCCTCAGCTGCCGTCCTCGCCCCTTTTGAAGATTGTTTTCAGTAGTTGGCTTCGGTAGTAGTATAGTAGGGACCAGTTACTCATTTTTTTGCGCAAGCATTCATTAACTTGCGCCGGAATACATTAACGCTCATTATGTCGTAGCAGTTTGTCTCATGGTTAAAATGTGGTGGAATGTCATTACGATAAATTGCCCACGGTTAAAATTGCAGTTTTTCACTACTACATTGACTCGCAATTCCCAGGAAGAGGTCTGAGCTCAAAGAAAACCAAACCAAATATAGAAAAATGGCCAGCAAGCCTCGGATTCATGTTGGAATTTAAATAATTTTTATATCGAACGTTGGCCATTGACGTGCTATTTGTTATGTGGTTTTACCAGTAAGACCTCTTTTTTGCCGTGGAATACATTATCGCCTATGACGTCATATCCGTTTTTCTTTATCTCATGAATAAAATGAGGTGGAATCTCATTTCGATGAGACGTGTCATTTTTAGGTGGTTAAATTTGGTGGTGGAATACATTAACGCCGATGAAAAAATACACTTTTGTCTTTATCTCATGAATAAAATGCAGACGAATTTCATTAACGCAATTATGCAAGTTCTATTTCCTGTCGCCTTCATTGTTTTGCATTGTTTTTTTTCCAGTTCCGGTTCACTGATTCTTGACGCGCAAATCGTGAGTACAAAGGCCAAACTAGCTCTTTCTAGCTTTCTTTTACTTACCATCCTCCCTTCATATTTCTCTACATTTCTAGTTTCCCTCCACAACCACCTCTACCACATTTCTATTGTATTGTCTCCAACTCCACTACCACCTCCACATTTGTATTGTTTTCCCATGCACCTTTAGCAACACCACATTTGTATCGTTTTCCCACTCGCCACTACGACCACCACATTTGTTTCGTTTTCCCATCCACCACTACAACCACCACATTTGTATTGTTGTCCCATCCACCCTCACCACATTTCTATTGTTTGCCCGCAACAGACAGAGCCCCATACTCATAAAATATGGTCAACCTCTTCGTTTGGTTGTCACGTGATTGACCGAGCGCACGTACGTACACTTCTACAGATTGTAAGGGTGGGGTAGGGAAGACTATCAAAAGGGAGGGAGGGGTGTCTCAGGCGTGTCTTGGCAAGTCCACATCTTGTATATTGGACATTCACAAAATGGTCAATTGACAGCTGTCAAAACAGGATAGTCACTGACCAGTATCACATGACCATATCGCGGGCTCATGTGTCAACTCATCGAGGTGACATGATTTATTTGGAAGCTGTCCGCTGACCAGTTGTTTTACTAGATCGTGATCAATGTTCAATCTCATACTTCCTACCTAGTTTGAGAGCACAGACTGACACATATTGGACATCAATGTCGTGAATAATTGACAGCTGTCAAAACAGGGTATCCGCTGACCAGTATCACTTGACCGTATCGCGGGCTCAGGTGTCGACCCATTGAGGTCAAGTTATCCGCTGACAAGTTACTAGTTTGCAAATGATCGCAGGCTCAAGTTATTTTTTAAAAAAATTTCATATGAAATATGTCGTGTATTTCTACTGCACAATTAAAATTTTGATTTCAAACTGACCTCGGACGCGAAAATTCAGCCAGCTATTACAGGCCGGGAAGACAGTTGCTTTTGACTTTGCTCACTATGATCACGCGTTGGTCGCGCTCTTCGTCGAATTTTTATGCTGTGATTGGTCAAAATTTGACAGGTGAGTCATACGGAAAATTTACGCAGCATCTTGAACAGTCCGGAATATCCCTAATTTTAAGGACAGGGCCAACTGATCACGCGACACTTTTCAACCGATGAGAAGGCGCGCTTGTGTTTATCCACACACAAATCAAAACATCGCCCTAGTGATCAAAAATTTTCACAACAGCAGACGGAGACGGACAGAATCGAACTTAACCGAACCAAATTGTCTACAGTTTTTAGCCATTCAGGTAGTTCAAAGAATGCATGCAATGCATGTTCAACCTGTTGCTTATGAACACTCACTATAAGGCTGTCAGTACACTGAATTTTACATTTTTTTTATTCCAAAGGTAATAATATTCTCTACAATGTTGCCTGCTTAATAAATACATCATACAATAAACAATAACAGTATATTCTGTATTAATGTCGTGTTAAAGTGTTCATTCAGTAAAATCAAATAATTTAATCATTGAAAGGCTGTTCTTACATTGGCCTGAATTATTAACCATTTATTCAGTAGTCCTTTAAAAACCCACGTCAAACATCATCTGCCCTGGCTTTATAAAATAGGTACAACCAAAAAAAAGTCTAATGTACAGTATTTGTTTGCATATTTTTGTCTTTTTCTTTTTACAAAAAAATATATGTCCCAAGATGTGTGAACAAAATGTACTAGCTTTCTTAGTATATATTTCTTCAAGTATCACCAGTCATTATAGCCAGGAACTCCTCTTCATTAACTACAGGAGAAAATAATAAATAAACACATGAATGAATAACGGATAAACATACGAAAGTAATTTGAATGATGAACTGCAAAATTAGAGGAGTTCATAACAGTTCAGTCCCAGACCATGGCAAAAGCGTTTGTTGAAAGAGTAGAGGAACACCTCTTTGCACAATCTTTTTTTCTTTTTTTAGCCTGTATGGTTTCTCCGTAACAGGGCAACATGATATTATACCACATAGCAGGCAATAGCTACTTGACCTACCAGTAGCAGTTCCCATTTGTACATACACTCAACCCTCCATGTGCAACTTAGCCTGTTCCAAGCGTTCAGATTGTGGGCATACCACAAAGAGATGTGAGGAGAAAAAAAAACGCAAAGGTGGTGGGGTACTGGGGCTACCTGAACACCTGGAACAGGCTACAGTGCAAATTGTCCAACTATGTCTCTTGACTGACCACCTCTCATAAGCAACCACCCACCCAAAAAACAAACGTTTCCCAGTCAAAGCACTTGCTTGTTGGGCAAGTGTAGTCTGTGAATAGCCTGTCTCTCCTCACTCCTTCAGAATTTACTAGCCTGATTGCAAAATTCATTCCTCTAGCACAGGGCTATCAGACACAACTTTCTATGTACTGGGAGTCTGAGGCAGGGTGAAGGCATTTCTCTGCTACTGGGCAATTACTCAGGGGAGGGTTCTTAAAGATGATGATGATGATCATAACAATAATAATAATAACAATAAAAATAATAATAATAATAATAATAATAATAATACATAAAATGCCCTTTATTTGAGCATGAAAGTACAAAATTGAGGACACTACTTTTACATCTTCTACAGGAAAAGGGACTGCCATTTGTGTGGTCATCCGAGCCACTTGAAGGTCTAGCTGTTTGCAGGGCAGAGCAGTACCTTACTAGGTTTTCCTTTAAATGAATCAGAGAATGGTCTAGTTGTTCCTAGCAAGTTTACGGCATTTACCAAGAGTGACGGTAATAACAAGACAAAAATTAAAAGAAGAGATAACAAACAAAAAGGAACTCTTCAAGCCACCATGGATACAGAAATAACTGGAAGTGACTTAACGGAAAAGAAACTATTCTTCCATACTGATTCTGCTATAGTTGAAGCCTAAAAAGTTAAATACAAAGTGGTGATAGAAGCTGGTTTTTCTTGCATCCTTACTATAAGAAAGTGAGGGGAAGGGGAGGTCAAGGGGGCGCTTATCAGAGCATGGGCATTTAGTCAAGGAAATACAGTTTATCACTTTTTAAAACCACAATATATTAGGGTAATTAAATAATACAGGTTGTTTTTCTAAATAATTTTCGTGTCTATAAATTATAATATTTAAGTAAAAAAGTCTACAAATTTTAAAAGACTCACTTTCACCATCTCCATCTTTATCAAACTCATCAATCATGGCACGCAACTCTTCGTCTGTCATGTTTTCACCCAGCTCTCTAGCTACTCGTCTTAAATTTCTGAGACTAATCTTGCCACTGTCATCATCATCAAATAGTCTGAATGCTTTAAATACTTCCTCTTGAGGATCTCTGTCTAACATCCAGTCTGTCACTAAAACATAAAGAGTAGAAAACCTTTTTCGTGAATTATGGTGTTGCTTGTGGTTTGTGGAACAGTTAATTAGGGATGTAGGGTTGCGAGACTGGTTCTAAATTCTCGCATCAGTATTTACTGTAAGCCAGGACACATGCATTCTACATGTACTTTCTTGGCACTGAAATGACATCATTCTAAATAAAAATTGAATTCAATAAAAAAAAAATGTGGCTAAAACGTAATTTACGCGAAGTTAACTGGAAGCAATACTGGCCAGCAGTTTCAATAGTGGCTCATAATCTGCAGGTTACAAGGATCAAGTTCCTGAGATTCATTGTGTAATTACATTGTAGGCATGTTTCACATCTAAGCGTACACTAATAGCGTACAACGAAATTTGTTTGGATAGTGTTTTGTTGTATTTTTAAAGTAATTTCAATTGTTAATTTTTTGCAGTGTTTTTGTGTTGTATTCACCCTTTAAGTATGAAACAGTTAATAAAAGTTATAAAATTACAAAAATAATGTTTCACATCTAAGCCGCCTTTTGCAAATTTCTTCCTTGTCCCTCCTGATCATTTACATACAAGTCACATGGGCCAGTTGTTTGAAGGCTGATTATTACTAATCCAGGATTTAACTTCAGAGCTCTTATTAAGTTTTAAAGTAGACAGCTAGGATGTTAAAGTAGGCCGCTTGGCAATCAAGTATTGTAGGCAATTTGCTTCACCCTATATTTTCCCCCACTACAGAGCTTGGTCCCTGGCTATTCAAATGCCTTTTCTCGATTAACTTTCTATAATTCTTTGTACAGCATCCAACAAACAAATTGAGGACAAAAAGAAGTAAACTGAATTTCCTTTTTAAGTTTTCACATCACCCTCATTCTGAACTTCAAATTTCTCACTAACCCTGGGTGATCTTAACCCAATTTTGTACGGCCCAGCCCAGAAGTTTATTTCAATAATGAAGAGACTGTAAAGTAGTCAAGGCTGCTGCCTAACGGGAACCTGATCGTCAGAGGTACCTACGATTTACCCTCGGGCAACCAAAATTTCAAACAGGAAGCCCGAAAAGGGCACCTAAAACTTATGATTCTCAGGATAAATTTTGGTGAACAAACAACAAAATTCCCTGCTCATTCTGCACTATTGAAATGAAAACGGAAAACATTTGGTCATCGGCCGTAGGCAAAAAAGATTTCCGCCGATAAAAGGTAAACAAACAGACTACCACTGCAGTGCAGTTGAAGTTTCTCGTCTGAAAATGGCTTCGAATGAATTTATAGTCTTCGAAAAACCTTCCATGATAAAATCATGACTTTTCCCTGGCGTTAGAAATGTTAGGTTGCTATTGCATGAAGTAAAAACTGATAAAAAGTCACGATCCGTACAAAAGCAAGAGGTTTCAAATTACATGTGACATACGGTATGCAAGTTTTACAATACTTTTGCAAGTTTGTAACATTTTCTATCTTGCTGCGAACACGAATGGTACACTCAGAGGTTTCTTTTATCATCTATTCAGCTTTATGTACACCTCTCCATTTTTGCTGTATGTTTTGTGGTAACTTTTGAAAGGCTTGCAAAAACATTCCATTTTTTTAAAATGATTTATGCTGTCGCACGCAATGCACATAAATACAAACCTTCACAAATATAAAAACAGTTAGTTCAAAAGATAGACTTGATACAAAAATAATGGGTCAATTTTCCGAACTTCAAGATAAAAAACCTTTCATTGGTCCTTTTTATCGCCTAAAAACTTGAACTTAACTTAGCTTAAATTGTAGACCCATGTACTTTTGGTTGGTGCGTTCGCTGTATGCGCAAATGATTATTGTTATGTTTTTCGAGAGATACCGTGTAAATCGTTTCGTGAAATTCTTTCGAACTTGGTGAATATAAAATTGCTGGTTTCTCAAAACTCAAGGTTTTCGCATTTCAAAACTTGATTCGTTCAACTCTTCTAATCATGCAATAGCCTGTTCACAGACCCTCTATTTTCTCTTAAGAGTCCATCGAGCACGCGTGATAAAAAACAAAAAACTGTGGGGGATTTACTGACTGCCAATGCAAGGGGGTAGGGGTGGCAGAAAAGAAAAGTACGAAAACATCTTTGTACAGGCTAGTCAAGTAATGCTCCTTAGCACTGTGTGACGGGTCAAAAGGGAGACTTACGTTCCGAGAAGCATGAATCAAGTTTCAAGGATCTGGTCAAGACAGTCAACTTAAGATACAAACACTATCAGCAGAGTCATTCTGGTGAACTGATTAAAACTAAGTTCAGACACAGGGTTCTCTTCTTGAAATACCATGAAGTGAAAAACCTCTAGATCAAAAAAAGGAGACTGGCCGTTGAATTGACCTTTTACTATAATGCTACTATTTGTACCCTAGAGTTGGATTAATGATAAATCGATTAACCAATTAGTGCACCAGTTATCGTGTGCCAGAAGTTTGACATGTTTAATAAAAGTTACTGATTTTTTCGAATTGGGCTCCTAAAAATGTGGCACGGGCTCCTAACTTTGAAGGACTCCCAAAAAAATTTCTTAGGCAGCAGCCTTGAGTCAACATAACTTTTTCTGGCTGGAGGCTTACTTTGCCACAAATGACATTAATATTTTTAATTTCTTGTACTTACTGACTTCATTGAAGTCATCAAATGTGATTTTCCCTGATGCCTCCCTGTCATAATCCTTCATGATTTTTAAAACATCTGCTTTCTTCACATCAAACCCAAGAGCCCTCATTGCCACCTACAACATATAAATTAACAAAGATTACAAATGTTAATATGCAGCTGTAAATTTACTGCAGCATTACCTGGTATAATAAGAAATCAAAATCTCAGCAGGTCTCATACAGTACATGTACATTTAGGTCACACTTACTGCACACAAGATCAAGAACATATTTGAGGATTTTACTAAGATCTTTTTACAAAGATCTTCAACAAACAATGTAAAGACCTTCAAACATCCTCCAATATCTTTGTGAGAACCTTGATGTACTTGGTAACAATTTTGAAGATCTTTGAGATTTTTTATAAAGATCCCCAAAGATATGCACTAGGATTGTAATGCAGATCTTCAAGCTTAAATGATCCTTGAAAGACTTTGACCAGGATAACACATTCACAAGACACAATAAACTATTTGATGATGGCAAGATACATTATATGTGACTCCTTGATATCTTCAAATGTAAGGTTTTCCAAAAAAAAAAATTCCTATAATAATTAATACCCATGCAACAGAACAAGGTCAAACTTGAGAGAGTTACTTGAGATTGTTCAAACTCACGCATTACATTCTAAAAAAACAAGGAAATCTGTTAGCAAGTAGCAGGAAACAATTATCTTACACTACGCAATATTACATGTTACAGGTCAAATTGGATCTCAGGTTAATTTTGATTTAACTTAAGTTGATCTGTAACATATATACAAAAGAGCAAAGTAAGAGTAATTGAGGAAGACATAATTTCAGTGGTACGGCTGCACAAGTAATCAACGACACACTAATGGCATAAACTTATAATTGACAAGGCACTTAAGTTGCCATGACTATGAATTACATTCCTGACAAGTTGAATACAGTATGATTAAAAAAAGAAATAATAATCACTTACGAGTTTACTGTACTTCTGTTGAACAATCTCTCAAACCAAAGACTCACAAAAACAATCCATCACGGAAATGTGGTGCAAAATTAAATCTCTGTTATCTCCAGATTAGACAAGTACATGTACATGTACAAGTTCAGTTGTATTAAACCAAGTCAGATTTTCTATTACAGATAGTTGGCAATTATTAAAAGCAAGCTCAACATTCTGAACTAGAGACTTCTAAGAATACTACATTATAAGTATCAAATACACTAAACACGAAAAAGGGTGGCTTCAGATGATCTTCGCCTAGTTCAATTAATGTAAGTTAACATGCTAATTTCTACAACTATTTATCACAAAGAACAGGAAATTTGATACCGAGAGAAGTATGCAAATATTTCTGAAACTTCGATCAGCTAGCCCGATGGAAGCCAAGAATATCTTTCTTTCCAAGGCATTAAGTCATGAAAAAGAAAAAAAGGCAACAAAAAAAGGAGCGCACGAATCTTATAAAACCCCAATTTAAAAAAAATACTTATATAAAAGACGTACAATGCCGTCTTGTCACAAGATGAGAAAAGACAGACCGCAAAACGTACGTTTTCATTTTATGTTACCCAGCCATTGTGCCCTTGAAGAATGGTTTAATTTCATCCCTTTGTGTTTTTTTTTCAAGACCCAAAGAATAATTACTTTTAAAAGGTCAATTAGTGAAAAGTCGAACTCAAAGGCAGGTCACACAATCATTAGTGAACAAAGGACAGCAATTTCCAAAATCCCTTACGCGCCAACCTACAATGCTATCCTCGATCTTGCCCCTACGTTACCCCTAACGTTCACTGAAGACATCACAGCAGAGAAGACAAATGCAAGCGCATAAAATAAAAAGGAACGTTACCTTAAGTTCATGATAGTCTATTGCTCTGTCTTTATCTGTATCGAACAAGTCAAATGCTTCTTTGATTTCTTGCTTTTGCTCTTCGCCAAGTTCGCGCCGCTTGCCCTTAGATCCTCTTCCCTTGCTAAAATCGGGCGTCTTTAACGACAGACTCATTTTTCCAATACCTTGCAGGTTATGATTTGATTATATCAAAATCTTTCTTAATAATTTCTTTGGCTGTTGTTATTTTGGTCCATACAGGACAACAGACACGCTTGTTGCTTTGGAAAAGACGCGCAAATGCGACGGCGGTTAGACCCTTATTACGCATGCGTTGATCAATAAGAAAAATGCTACCTCGTTTTCACCCAACCTCATAGCGAGGCTCAACATGGCGCGCGTGAGCGTTTTGAACATGTTTATATTTTGTAGTTAAGATTTACTCAAAATTATGCAGCCGCCAGATTTACGTTTTATCGTAAACCACACTATCTTGAAATACTTAGTCTGTAGTAGTGATATTTCTCGAGATTATCTGGTGATGCTTGAGTATTTTGAAAGTTTTGGTCAAGGTATTTTTGGTGGCGAGATTTTGTCGCAGATCATTGAAGACTTTCCTGGTGAGCTCACAGATGAATTGTTACTTGTTTTGTCACCTCCACATCTGCGACATTTGAAACTGACGAGGTGCAGCAGGCTGTCCTGCAGTGGACTTCGACAAGCCATCGCTAAGTAAGTTGATGCTCCCAACCTTAGATAAAGGCGCGTTTGTTTGTTTGTTTGTTTGTTTGTTTTGGTTTGTGGGAATAATCACTGAAATCATTCGAAGAGGGCGTAATCGAAGGCTACGGCACCCTGATATGGGAAACTGACATCGGGCGTCCGAGCGATATATAACAGGAGGGATAAAATACGAGTGGTCGTATAAACGTGCCTATAGTATCCCCTTTTAGTAAAATCCAACTAGTGGTCTATTATCAATGCTGCGTTCTGATTGGTTGAGCTACTCCTAGGCTATATGCTATAGCCCACTAGTAGCAAAAAGTGCCGGCTTTGAAAACCAAAACAATGGCAGCTGAATCGCGTTTTGCTAGCTAAAGTTGTTTTGTCTCGATATTTTTGACCAAATAGTTAGATTTTAGCTACATCTGAGTCAATAGCCCTTCGGCCTTCGGCCTCATGGGCTGTAGACTCAGAGACCATTCGGGCTCAAGGAATAATTGTTTATTATTCCTCACATTTCCGCAGTAGAGACCTTTAGATTCTAAGACGAGTATAACAACGAGTAGGAGATTTTCTCAATACTAAGTAGTACTTGCGCCTGAACCAGCGACATTTTGGTGGGAAAACATAGTAGTCGTCATCATTTTACTACGAGTTTTAGCGAGAATGTCGAAGTGGCAAAAACGAGTTATCAAATGTTGGAAGTTTTATCATTTTGTGATCGGGAGAGGGTGTAACCTCCTTCACTAAAGGTAACAGTGCTAACTTTTCTAGCGGGGTGTCTTTAATTTGAGAATACGCAAAAAAACTTTACAGTCAAACCAGGTCAAGCGTTCCCGTCGCTAACAAACTAATGAATTCATTAATGGAAAAATGATTTCGTTTGTTGATTCAATAATCCATTCATAAAATGAATAATCCAACGGTCAAATTGTACCTCGATTCAATAATGAAATGTTGATTTGGTTTATGAACAATGTCTACCTGTTCTTTATTCTTGTCGTATTTGCTTCCCTTTTCCTGCCGTTTACGATTGCGTTTTTCATTGCCTTTAATCAAAATAACAGCTAGAATAGACAGACCGCAAACGCAAAGAAACTGACAAAGGCCGAGGATCGAAATCCACCAATCACCGCACATACACTGACCTCAGTTTGACCGTCGTGTTTTCTAAGAGGTCAGGCCTAGGTCTGTTGCACTGATTATTGGCAGCAAACTGGCGTACATGTAACAGTTTGTTTGGGTTTGAACTTCAGAACTCGCCAGCACTCGACTCTTAGAAAAAAAAGGGAAAAAAAACAAAATTCTGAGGTCAACTTGTGGAAAGAGTAATTTTTCAAAAAACAGTAATCGAATCAACATTCGATTATGGAATCGAGGCTAAATATGACTATTGGATTGTTCATTTTATGAATGGATTATCGAATCAACAAACGAAATCATTTTTCCGTGAATGAATTCATTAGTTCGTTAGCGACGGGAACGCTTGACCTGGTTTGACTGTAAGTCAAATCTCGTACTCATAGTCGTCCTCGTCCTTGTCCTTGAATCTTAAAGGTCTCTAGTGACCAATCAAATACAAGTACTGGAAGAGTGGAGAGAGGCAGACTTGAGTCATGGTTTAGTAAACAGTAAGGTTCCTTCAAAATGCTCTAAATACGACATAAATAAGACTTAAACAGGACAAAATAGTGTTCTGACTTTTTGGCATCTTTAATGTTCTCAAGGCATGCCGGGGGTGACTGGTGTACTGTATTTACTCAATTAAATGCTGCCCTCGAATGAACACCGCTGATGGAAGCCAAATTAGTAATAAATGCTGCTTTGAAATCGCTAAAAATTTAATAAATGCCGCAGAGTTTGATCAAAAGAATGCTTTATTTTTGCTTAAGTGTTAGTCTCATTTCATGATCATCGGAATGTTTCTTACAGATGTCATCAGCTTCAAGCACTTGACTTCAGTGAATGCATTCACCTCCTTCACCCAACTGTTTTCTGTTGTCTCAAGGACAAGGCAGTAAACTTGGTGTCCTTGTCTTTGGAAAACTCAGAAGTTGTTTCTGATGACATTGTTCAGGTAGGAAACTTGGGTATACTGGCCTAAATTTTCTTTGGCTTGGCACCACTGGTTTACCAGATACTGGACCTGTTCCAAAGAGGACCAAAATGAATTTCAGGCAATTTTTTTTTCAGAACTGGGAAAAAAGCATACCCAGCTACTGTAAGTGGCAATTAAATGCCCATGTAGACCATGATTGTGAACAACTTCTCACCCCCAGAATGAAGAGCAGGGATGTTACAGGCTAACCGCCGCCCGGTTAGCTCAGTTGAGAGACCGCCAATCTCCTGAGCGGGAGGTCACAGGTTCGAATCCCGGCAGGACCAACACTCAGGGTCATTAAATAACTGAGAAGAAAGTGCTGCGTTTGTAATGACATCTACAAATTTAATGGTTAGACTTTCTAGTCTTCTCGGATAAGGAAGAAAAACCGTAGGTCCCGTCTCACAGTACTTACACTTATCTGGTTCTTGTGGGACGTAAAAGAACCCACACCACTGTTCGAAACAAGTAGGGGATGTAGAGCCAGTGTTGTCGTCAACCTTCATTCACATCATGGGTTGGGTGGGTACAGTAAGCTCACAAATGGACTGAGAGCGGCTGCCAGTGGCCCCTTTGTATGCTGACGTCCGCGCTTACTGTTCACATGTTAAAATGAATTGTAAGAGGGCACGTCTGTTGTCCTCTCATCCACGACTCTTCAGTTTCAGCACCTGAAAAAGAGCTCACCATCAGCTCAAACTGCTCTGGAAATCAAAGACATGGGATAATTTTGAAGGTGTAGCTCAGAAAAAAAAGCCTGCCTACCTGTAGCTCTAATCTTTAGCTAAATCCCTGGTCAAAAGAGACTAACTAAAATGACATAGTCTTTTTAGAGCAAGATAGTGTTTTCCACACTAGTAAAAAGCTGTTTATTTCAAAAAATCTCAATTTTCTGTGTTTTTCTTGTTAAGCAGCTGTTCAGTTGTAAATAAGCCAAGTGGATGTTTTGACAGATGTGATGGCTTGTTAAGAGTACAACACTAACCCTTGTACTCTTAACAAGCCATCACATCTGTCAAAACATCCACTTGGCTTATTTACAACTGAACAGTTGTACTATTTACACTTAGTGTAAATAGTTTCCAGTGGGGATAAATTATTTATAAAAAACAATTTGTGCAGCTAGTCAAAATATTAACCACCCTAGTGTAGTGAAATTAGAAAAAGATATTAAGTGCAACTAAAAAATGCCAGAAAAGAATCTGAGCCCCCAGTGGGAATCAAACCCATGACCTTCCAGATTCTGGTGGGACGCTCTAACCACTGAGCTATGGGTGACTCACTATGATTCCTACCGATATCTGGAAGATTGTGGGTTCAATTCCCACGGAGGGCTTGGATATTTTCCGAGCATTTCTTAGTTGTACTTAATATCTGTTTTGAGTTATTATTATTATTATTCTTTTATGTTAAACCAGAACACCATGCACACCAGAAATATTTCTGGCATGTTATTGTGTTACATGGAAAAAGCCCATTTAGTGTAGTTTTTTGGCTTGCTCACCTGTCCTGATTTTGTGGTTTACTTGTCCTTTTTTAGCCTGAAACTTAAAGGTTGGTGGAATTTTAGTTTCTGTTACAATGTTCCAGATGGTTTAAATTAATGGATATCAAGGAGACAAAAGAAGTGAAAAATGAAACTGGTTTGAAATTACAGTTGAACCCTTATTAAGTGGCCACCTTGTATTAAAGGAGCTGTGTCACAAAATTCAGCCAAATTAGGAAATTACAAAATGCCTATTAAATTAACCCATTCGCTCCTGGAGATTTTGCCGAAAAACGCGTTTTGAAGCTAGTCGAGTGGTTTTCTGGTCACTGTCAAATTAAAATTACAAAAAATGCCCATTGAATGCAAAATAAACCTAAAAATAACATGCAGAAAGCAAAATAAAGTTTTTGGGTTTAAAGTGACACAGCAGTCTAACTTTTAACATAACAGAAACTCCTCCCTTCTTTTTCGCTTTTCTTGCCTCAGATGGGCAAAGGCTTCATTTTGGGGAAGAGTTTTTAGGAAAGCTTTTAGGATCTTAGGATTAGGTGAAAACAGATTGGAAATTTTATGGATTTTTCAGGAAAACGTGGTTTTTGTTCGGTGTCCTTGAATGAAGCTCATTCTGGTATTTTGAAAGTTGATCCCTGCACACTGCTTGTCCTTGACCTTTAAAAATAATGCTCAAAGGAGACAGGATTTGATTTGTCTTGGATCTCTGGTTCAGGGTCAAATTTAAGAGAAAAATAAAAATAATCTAAAACTTTTAAAGGAACGTTAAAATAACGTAACAGAAACAACAGATAAGTTCCAAACTGAAAAAGACTGAAACGGATTGAAATTAGGATTTTTGAAAACTGTTCAGCCTAACAGTTTTTCAAAGTTGATTGCTTGCAACTTCAAAAATAATGCTTAAACAATTTGTTTGTCTTGGACTGATTTTGTCATTTACATGTAACACTTTAAGTTCCCGATTGGCTTAGTAATTGGCAAAATTAAACAAAATGAACTGGACTGCTGTGACACAGCCCCTTTAAAAGGCAGGTATCAAAGTCCCCAAATAAACTGTAGAAAAGAATGGGAATTAAACCTCTATTACTGGTAAGTGGCTAAGGCCACTTTTTGGCTGTCCCAACAAGAGTTCTACCATTTTGACTGTTGTCATCTCTGTTAAGCGACCATTAAGTACTTGATACTCTTAGTTTGGCTTTATAATGAAGGACGATACAGTCAGAGATGGAAGGTGACGACCGATAACAAAGCAGTAATGCTACTCCTGTTGTGTTTTTTTTTTCAGAAAATTAAAGTGATGTTTTTGCTAAAGATTATTCTAACTTATGATGAACCTTTATTGAGCGGCCAATCTCCATTGAGCAGTCACTTGCCAATACTCAAGTGTGGCCTCTTAATAGAGTTTCAACTGTAAAAAACTGAATTAAACACATATAAGTAAACCACAATACTTATTACAAGTTATTTTTGTTAATTTATTATGAATATTTTCATAGGTGGCATTGTTCTGCTGTCCTCAGTTAAAACACCTCAATCTTTCCAGCTGCAGACACATAACTGATGCTGCATTTGAGTTGTCCAGTCCTGAAATGAAGCGTGAGTCAAACTCAACCTTAACTACAAATTCACTATCATCCAAAAATGTAATTCTTCCTGGAAGTAATCTAACAAGTGTGGATATATCAGGGTGCCAGTCTCTGTCAACTACAGCTGTGAAATATCTTGCAAGCATGTGTGGCACTAACCTGAGAAGCATTAATCTTGCCTGCACAGGAGTTAATTGCACAGCATTGCTGTACCTTGCAGGATTAAATATGGAAGAGGTAGCAAAAATTTTGGATGATGCTGATCATGCATTGGTCAATTCCACTGCAGTGGGAAGTTATATTTGTTCTGATAACTGCAGTGGTCAACTGTTGACATCAACAACTGATGGTGGATCCTCTGTCATGCATAAGCAAAGTACAAAAGGTAACGACCTACATTTAACACACCTACGAAATGTAGAACAGATGGCTTTTAGTAAAGAGAATGAACTTTCAATGCATAATGAACGTACAAGTATCCTGTCAGAAGGCCTTCAAGGTGCAACTTCAAATGATAGCATTATTTCAGAAACTGTCATGGATTGTCATGGCTCTGATGAAACTTTGTTGAATGAAATTGAGCTGTCAACATTGAAGGATGCTATTCCAAGTAGTCCCAAGAGTTCAATTTGTATGGCATCAGAGAAACGTCTAGAGAACTTCAGTGTAACAGAATCCGATGGAGAGAGTGATGACAGTTACAAAACAGCTCCTGAAGAGTTTGATCTCATAACCTGTTTTCCTCCACCTCCAGGAGAAATTAATTGTCGTTGTAATGAAACTCTAGAAGCTGAAAGTAGATGTTGCACTGAGCATGAAAATGGTGCTGAGGGTGCATTGTCAGTGGAAACCAAGGATTGCAAATCTTTTTGGAATATTCCAGGTGGAAATTCTTCAACATCTAACTTGTTGGAATTCAATGAATCTTCCTGTAAAGAGCCTCATGTATCCAACACTGATACTGTGCTGTGTTGTTCCCAGGGTTGTCAAGGGAGCATTAAGGATGTTGAGGCAAGACATCCTGCAGATCTTTCTTGCGAACATTTTCGTGAAGGTGGAGGTGATGAAGAAATATTCGAAGATTGCTTTGGTGTGGAGAGTTATATCTTAAATTATTCCAAAGAGAAAGCAGACAAGAAATATGATGTATGCTTCCATCAATCTGTAGATGAAAAAAGCAGTTTAGGAAGCAGTTATTGTAATACCTGTTTTAGTGATGCAAAACTGTCTTGTATGACTGCTGTAAATGAAAACAAACCTGGTGTGACATTCTGTGAGAAATCAAAGCAAGAGGAGGTGAAATTTGTCGAATCTTGCAACAGCACTGAAAGGGCAGATTACACTGATCTTGAATGCCAAACTGTACTTGAGAAAGTAACAGATATGAAATCAGATTTTTGCATCATGCCTTGCACAGAAATGGATCATAAAGACATGAAGGGATTACATGTAGTGGATGACAGAGTTGGGTGCAATTTTTGTGGAAAATTACACATATTACATGGAGTAGAATCAGATTGTCCTCTCAAGCTTGATGTGAACAAAACAGATAATGGATCTAGACACTTTGTTCATGAGTTGTGCCAAAATTTGTCTAGCTCTTCAAAGCTGTGGGTTGATGAGAAAAACAGTGGTTTAGGGCATGCCATCAAACCTTGTTGGGAAGACACAGGATTTTTAACACCAGTTGTTCCATGTGAGAATGTAACAGAAAACAAATTACACATGCCATGTTCTGAGATGGAAAAAAGTAACCTTAGAAGTTCAAACTTTTTGCCATCCCACAGGAAAGTCCTTCAAGTTGACGATTTGCTCCAAGCCCAGATTTATCAGCCGCAAATCATAAGTCTGGACATCAGTGGCATGTGCTATCAGAACAAATCCTTAGGTGTCGTGTGTTTGAAGGTTTTCTCTAGAGCCTGCAATCGTTTGAAGAATTTTGCAGTTTCATGGACTGGACTAGATGATGAGATGCTGACCTATCTTTTAAAGAATGAGAAGGAACTGGAAACATTATGCTTGGTATGATTTACAATCTTAAGACAATTAAACAGCACAAGGCAAAATTTTCCATAGGGTTACATGCCCTCCTCTTTCTGTACTTCTGTTCTGTTCTATGGACCCATCTCCTCCTTTCTCAATTAATAAAGATCCTGACACAGTTTGGAAATGATATGTGATTTTCAGCTTTTTTCCAAGAAAACTAGTTGTGTATATTTCTTAAGAGCTTATGAGTGAAACGCATGGGAGAAAATGGCCATGTGCTTGCCTGCAGGTGTGATTCATTTGTTATGTCTGCATCTCCACTTCATTACTCTGAAGACTATTGGCAGTCTCCTGATCTATGCCTTTTCAATACCTACTCTTTCACAAGTATCTTTGTCGAATTACTTCCTGTAGAAATTTTTATCCCTGTTACATTAATGGCCAGACAATGCCCAGTAAATAGGCCCTTTGCAGCTAGATATTCATAGGTACAAGACCCCCATGCTAGAGAGCAAGAGATGCCCTGTGAGAAGACAAAACAAAAAAAATACCATTTTAAATTAATTCGTTAAATGTAATTTAACTAAGTTAACCACCACGAGTTTAGCGGTCAAGTGGTCCATGAGCTTAGTTGTTAAGCAGTTCATGAGCTTAGCAGTCAAGCAGCTCCATCCCAATTTATTTTTCATTCCCTTGCAGGCTCACTGGTACATTTGCTTTGTACACTGCCAGGATCTTTGATGGGTGCCTAAAGTCTTCCCCCCACCTCCCATCCCTTATTTTTCTTCCTTCCACTGTTTTGTCAGTGTGACTGTTGCCTGCAATGGGGGCTCATGCCTGGGTTGTGGGGATTTGCCAGCTATGGGAGCAGTGTTCTATCTAGGGGCTGGCTGGCCACGGTGGAAGCCCCTGGGTATCCCAGGCTCCCACCTTCCACTTAAGCAAGGCAGTTGGTTAATTGATATGAGCTCTTTTTTTGGCTTGTCTCATTGCATCCCTTGCTCTCCATCATGGCGGTTTTGTACCACGTTAATTACTAGCTGCAAAAGACCAATTTTACTGCAACTTGTCATCTGCTTGATTTTAGGTTGACTGTGAAAACCTCAGCAGCATCTCAGTGAGTACTATTCCTGTTCATTGCCCTAAGCTCACCAGTTTTGACCTCAAGGGAATGTGTTATGTGACTGATCATGGAGTCATGCCATTAACAAGGAAAAAAAATCTAGAGACACTTTGTTTGGCTGAGGCTACCATCACTGATTCAACATTACAGAGTATTGCTAAAGGTTGTGGAGAAAAGGTATTATGCGACCATTTGATGTAGATTTATTATCCTTACTGGGCGCAGTCTTTCCCCATAGGGATGGGCATTATTAGGACTCATAGGTGTTTCTATTCAGGGTCCCCTCCCTTCCTAATGTCACTAGTTGACTACTGATGAGAAGTGGAGCCCAGGAGTGGCCATTGCCAAAGATTGTTTTTTGTCCCTAGTCTGTGTGTCCCTAGTCTGTGTATATTTGGTTAGTTTTTGTAACACATGAGCTTCCTTCAAATTTCTCCCCTTCCCCTTAAAAGAAGCACCTGCTACACAGGCTATTTAGTTCCTGGTGTTCCTTTACATCCCACAATTAAGTGTCGTTAGAAACGGGCCTATGCCTGTTCGTCCTTTTAATGATTTATTTGATGTGGCAGAATTGACTTATGCAGTCAAAGACTTTCTTTCTAAAGCATGTCGATTAGAATTAGTGCCCACCATAATGCAAGATTTTTAAAACGGAAATTGTATTGTTGTGAATGTGATCAAGCCAAAGCAGTAACATGTCAAGTGAAAAAACAATGTTTTTGCTAGCGACCGAGTCAGATCCGGAGTCGTAATCAGAAGTGTAGGACTTAAGGATCTAGTGAAAATGGCGTTCTCATTCCGCTTACGTCTCCGTCGTTAACGATCTAGTGAAAACTGTGTTGTCGAAGTCGCAAGCAGAAGCAGAATAACTAAACCAATCACAAAGCGTGGGAACGTGCATTGTGTGTGATTGGTTTACCCTTGCGCTTCTGCTTCCGACTCCGACAATCTGGTTTTCACATAGATCCTAAAAGACGGAGTAGAGGCGGCGTCGGAAGAAAGTGGAAACGTTCTGTTTCTTCCGACTCCGATTCCGTTGCCCTTATGACTTTGCTTACAACTCTGGTTTTTTATTTTCATAAGGTCATAAGCGCTCTTACGTGCTGTACGACTCCGCTTACAATTCCGACTTCGACTCCATCGCTAGTGAAAACCAGCAAGTTTCTCTATCCTTTTCTCCCCAGTTAAAAGTTTTAGATTTATCATGGTGCGAAGACCTCACAGATAGAGGAATGTCGATCATAGCAAACAGCTGTCCCTCCCTCCAGCATCTTAGTCTGCGTCAATGCTCGGCTTCAACTTTCACTCTGGATGCGCTGGCAGCTAATGGTCGTCACATGTCGTATCTCAATATTGCTGGAATTGATGGGTTAACAGATGTTGCGCTTGGTAGCATGGCTGAAAACATGCCATTGCTTAAGGAAATAGATGTAAGCTGGAATTCCAGTCTGTCGGACGTAGGTGTCATTGCTCTTTTACAATGCTGCACAAAGCTGAAGAAGGCTGTGTTATGTGGTTTAAAGCGAATCACTTCCCAACCGTTTTTGGCTATTATAGGAGATTTAGGGCAGTGGTTTCTGCTCGAAGAACTTTGTAGATCCAACAGACGACCTCTGAGGAATGTTAGCGAAGGAAAACTGGCTCTAAAATTCTGCGACACGGTAAGCTCATACTGTAGTTATCGATGTCCTTGCTCACTCGTTTTTAAGCCGGGGATGAACCTCAAGAGAAGCCACTGCCAACAGTTTCATCCCTCTCTCGCCCCACCCCAGTTTTCAAGTTATGGTAATCTAGCAAACTTCGCTCAAAATTTGGGACCGCTTTTGTAACAAAATTTGCAACTATATGGTTAGAAGTTTGGGTCCGAAGGCGGTCAAATTTCAGCCTGTTCAAGGCTCCTAGATAGGGACGCAGTGCCCCCACGGTAAACAAGGTCAAACGAACTGAACAAGATGGGCGCAATCGGTGCATGTAGCCTATCTTCGAGTTTGAAACAGGCCAGTCAATTCTGCATGATAGACAGGTACTGTTGGTGAAAACAACTATAAAGTAGGATTTATTAAGTGCATGGGGCATCTGTTCAAAGCCCACCTATGATAAATTTTCAAACGTGTTAAAAAAGTCCGGGAATCAGGGATGGCCCCTTCAGTACAATCGTACTCTTTTGCAAATTTTTTTTTGCGGCAATTAGAAAGACAAAAACTCAAAGCCTGTTTAATAATATACGCACCAAGCCATTGAAAATCCCAAAAGACTCCCTTCTTTCTCCTAAGAGCACTTTCCTTCCTTTAACATAGCACTCTTTGTAGTATTAGTTAATTGATTACCATTTTCTTTCCCTAGGAAACAGCGAAATCCGTGGGGGACCAGATACCGCATCGATCCATGTGTTACGCCCCCTCGTTACGGCAAGTCCTACTAGAGTACAGCGACAAAGTCAACGACGATCATCTGTCAGCCATTGTAGCAGTTTGCAGAGGGACCTTGTTTGTATCAGATTATTATGCGCAGCCAGTAGAACCGAGATGGATATTTAAATAATGACGTTTTTCACGCCATGCTATGCTTGAGCTAACGTCAAATCGTGCCAGAATGTTATCCTTGTCGTGGGATATCGTGTCAGTCGAACTGTATTTTGGCGAGTCCTTTGGGCGTGTCAAAATGCAAGAGACGATTAGCATATCCCACGATACTAGACACTGAAGTAGTGTAGTGGGGACCGGTTACTCCTTTTTTAAGTTGAATTTCATTAGTTTGAAGTGGAGTACATAAACACCTATGGCGTCATAACCTTTTGTCTTTATCTCCTGAATAAAATGCGCTGAAATCTCATTAACGTAAGGTCGTGTACTATTTTTAGGTGGTTTAACTGGTTTGACAGTTTGTTTAGTTACTTTTATGTGGATACATGTCTTGGTTTTTGATTGGTTGACTAAAAACTAAGAAATCTTCATCGGTTTATTCGTGTTGTCAAAGGAATCCTGAAAAAACGGAGTAACCGGTCTCTACTATATGTATCACTTAACTATCTAAGATGCATTTTATTCAACTTCGATAGGAGATATAGAAAAGCACCCTTACTTATGGCAAGAATGCGTGACAAACTGACTTGATTCTTGTACAAGTCCAGCTTTTCGTTTTCACTCTAACTATCTTTTGCAATACTGTAATTATAGTTATGCAAATAAAGGTTGAAGGGTTCATACAATGATGCACAGAAATCTCTAGATCATAATTATTTTTGTGTCGGTGTTACATGATGATCGACAGCTGTCACGATCCTTTGCCCACGTCATATCAAGGTTCTCATGAGGACTGTCACCCTTTATTAAAGAAACAACCAACACTTAAGTTTTTTGTTCATTAAACATTTTCCTTTCTAATCTTTTTCACCATCGCTGCGAACTTCTTACAAACCATGCAGATAGGATCACATACTGTACCTTGACAACTGCAACGCAATGTATGGACGATCTGGGGGGGGGGGGCTCCACTGTGGCCAGCCGGTCCCTAGACAGAGAACTGTTCCCTAGGCTGGCAATCCCCGCAACCCAGGGATGAGTCCCCACCCCGCACCGAATCGTTTGGGCACAGTGGAAAATATGGGGTGGGAAGGAAGGTGAAAAAAAAATGAAGACGAAGAAAGCACTCCACAGAAAGAAGCCGTTACGCTTTTGCACGCTGAAATGTGCTTTCAGGCTGTGACCGAGAGTGCTTGGAGCATTCGCCGATCTCTGCTACCGCTGACAGCCATGAGCACATTGGCTGCCCTTTGATGTCAACTCAGTTAAACTGCATTTATCAACTGAATCGAAATTTCAGTTTTTTCTTATCACCCACTAATTCAACTGAGATTGAGAATTTAATTATGTCCCTAAGTTCAACCAAGGCTTGTGGCCCATTTAGTATTTCAATCTCCCTTCTTAAGACTTTAAAAAGTGTTTTATCAGTCCCTTTTCAGCTGCTCTTTAATTGCTCATTCTCTACTGGTATGGTGCCAGATCAATTTAAAGTAGCCAGAGTAGTTCCAATTCACAAAAAAGGGTCCAGCTGTTTAGTCTCCAACTATAGACCTATTTCCCTGCTTTCTATATTCAATAAATTAATTGAAAAAATAATGTATAATAGAATTATTAGCTATCTTGAGAAATTTTCTATTTTATACAATAAGCAGTTTGGTTTTAGATCAAAGCATTCAACCACCCATGCTCTTCTCCTCTTGACCGATAAGATACACAGATCAATCGATAATGGCACCTATTCTTGTGGCATTTTTCTAGACTTATGTAAAGCATTTGATACAGTCGATCATAAAATTTTATTAACCAAATTGGAGTATTATGGTATACGAGGTGTTGTAAATGATTGGTTTGCATCATATCTGAGTAACAGAAGACAGTTTGTCTATTGTTTTGGTACTGATTCTGATTACCAAACTGTTTCATGTGGAGTACCACAGGGGTCATTGCTTGGCCCACTTCTTTTTCTTTTATATATAAATGATCTGCCTAAATGCTCCAACATTTTGGATTTTCACCTTTTTGCAGATGATACAAATCTGTTTCTTGACAATACTAACATTCTAAATTTAGAAACCAACCTAAATGTAGAACTAGATAAGGTGAGCCAGTGGTTATTTGCTAACAAATTATCACTGAACATTGAAAAAACTAGCTTTGTGGTATTCCATTCTCCGCAAAGACGAATAGCTCATAAGTTGAATCTTAATATCTCAAAAATGTCTGTTAAATCTGATAACCAAGTTAAATACCTAAGACTCATTTTTGATTCTAATTTGAACTGGAAACCGTACTTGCACGAATTGAGCAAGAAGATTTCAAGAGGTATTGGGGTACTATCTAAAATTAGACATTATGTAAACAGAAACATATTACTTCAATTATATTATTCACTTATTTACCCCTTCCTCACCTACGGTTTATCAATTTGGGGCAATACTTATAGTTCTACTCTCAGACCTTTGATAATTCTTCAAAAGAAAGCAACACGTATTATAACTTTTTCGGAACCAGGTGATCACTCTGAGCCTCTTTTTAAGAAATTAAACATTCTTAAATTAACTGATCTTGTTACCCTTCACAATGCACTCCTCATGTATAACTATCACCATAATCTTCTTCCATCTTCCTTTGAAAATTTCTTTAAAACGGTAGCATCCATACACTCATACAATACCAGGCTTGCTTCTAAATCAACCTATTACCTCAATACTATCAAAACAAACTATGGTAAATTCAACTTTCGCTTCGGGGCTGTAAAAGTTTGGAATATCCTTGATGAAAGCATCAAACACCTCCCCCTTAAATCCTTTAAAAACAAAGTCATGTCAAACATCTTAGAGTCTTACTGTTCGTGAGTCTTTTTTTTTTCTTTTTTTTTCCTTTTTCATTTTTTTTCCTTTTATCTATTTACTAATTCCTTGTTTTTTCTAGCTTTAGTGCCAACCTACCTCCTATGCCCGAACATTATTTAGGTTTACTCAGCTCGATTAGCTTTTTAGTTATTCTGAGTAAATGTTACCTTTTTTTGTATTAATATATTATATTGTAAATTAAGTTAACTTTTATTTGGTAATAAAGCTTATGTTGTTGTTGTTGTTGTTGTTGTTAATATTGCTTGCAAAGAGCTGAAAACCGCAAAAATTGCTCAAGTTAACCAGCTCTTTCAACTTTTGAATTCAGATCGTATATTTTTCCACAGCTTCTATGAGTTAAGGTGTACTAATAAGGAAAAAGGTAAACGATGAAGATTCGCCTATACAGTTGGTATTTTTTATAGACTTGTCTAAAGCCTTTGACACTCGTCGACCATTCTTTTTTAATTTCAAAATTAGAACATTATGGTGTTCGAGGTGCTGCACTTAGATGGTTCGAAAGCTATCTAAGCATTAGACAACAATAATAGTATTCGTTCGGAGTCTTGCACCCTTTATAGTACGTGGACTTTAGCAAAGTGAGGGGTGCCTCAGGGCTCTATACTAGGCTCCCTGCTCTTTCTGCTCTCTATATAAAATCTCTGCAATGTGTCAAAGGTCGTTGACTTAATTCTTTTTGTTGATGACACAAACATATTATTCATACAAAGATTCTAATTTACTTTCTGAAACCTTAGATTCTGAAATGTTAAAATTGGCACGGTGATGTCGAGGTATTAAACTGTCCATTAACTCATGGATAATATTATCCATGATTAAAGGAGCTGTGTCACGGCTACTGCGCATGCTTGCATTTGACAGATGCAAATGATGTAAACAAGGCTAGGTACTTATATGAGCCCATGTGAAAAGCCGACTCGCGCTGCGAAACCTTCATCGAGATTCCTTATTGTCGTTAGAACCTTTTACAGAAATGAGCCTTTCTTCGGAACAAAGTCGCTCTTTTGCGGTATGTATCCGTGTATTAATTTAGCCACAACTTTCTTGCCGCTTTTGTAGTCAGCGACTCGCGCTCTACTCTTCCTGGACTTCTGAATACCGCAGTTTATTCCACTCGATTGCGCGAAATCTAGTCAACATTATTTCCTTCCCGTTTGCGCAGGACAACGTCCCTAACTCTTGCCAGTGTACAAGCACTTGCTCTACGAAAGCAGGAAGAAAAAGGACTGGATGTCCTTGCAAAACAGCCGGTCGTGGAAGCCTCACATTCTTAGCTTTTCTAGAAAAATATCTAAATCTATAAGCATTATTTACAGATCTTTGCAAGTCAAGTTTTTGCCTTCCTCTAAAACAGTCTATTTTACCCTTTTATGTGCTTCAGTGTGGGGATCGACATGTCACTCTAAGACGTATCATTATCCTGCAAAAGAAGATAATCAGAATAATATCCAAAGTATCGTTAGATTCTCATAATGATGTTTTTTTTTGAAGAACAGGAGATTTATACCAAATAGGTAAATGCATCTTTTTAAAAGAAGTTTACTTCCTAATTATTTTCGTGATATGTTTACTCTTGCAAGCCGAATACTTCCGCATAATACAAAAAATTCCAATATTTTTTCATTTTATTGCTTGTCGAGCTGATATTCGAAAATTCTCAGTTCGGTCCCAAAGACTATAAAGTTTTGCAACTCAGTAGTCGTGAAACTCAAAACAGTGCGCGAAAGTATCGGTTTGATTGGCAAAATATTTAAAAAATTCCTTCTTTCTTAGTCGAATGTCGGATCTTTTTTTTTTGAGCTACACAGGTCTTACTTTTCTTTTCTATTTTTTTTTTAAGCAATAGACCACACTTTCTATGGGTTTACCGGCGTGATAACCCACGCGGGATGTTGGGAGAACACGAGAAAAAGCTTGTAAATCACTCGCCTTCGGCTCGTGATTTACAAGCTTTTTCTCGTGTTCTCCCAACATCCCACGTGGGTTATCACGCCGGTAAACCCATAGAAAGTGTGGTCTATTGCTTTTATAAAATAACTTTTAGTAGAATGGAGTCTTTTCGGTAAAAAATATGGTTTTAGTACCGTGATCAAGTCACGTCTTCTCTCTAAAGTCATCATAAGCCAATCATGACTCACGATTTAATAGCGTTGAACTTTCTTAAAACTCAGTTCAGTAAAACAACAAACAGCAGCACTTCAAAACACGAGTTTTTGCACTCATTACATGATAACTTATGAAAGCTGTTTTACAGGAAAAGTCAACATTTATTCAAGCGAACGTACAATGAAAAAATACGTTCATGGTTTGTTTACTACCGAAGTAGAAATTAATTGAACATCAGACTGTACGCCGCTGTATTTTGTTGAGCCTATCAGTAAGAATTTTGTGCTTACAGACGGAACTGGCAGCTATTGTAATGGAGG